AGGAAGCTACTAATACATTTATCCTGAATAGTTTGAAAATGTCTTGATCAGATATGAGTACAGATAAAATAACAAAAGATGAAAAGGAATCAACTTCAATTGGAAATCAAGCCAAGATAAGACATATGTATCGGTACAAATTATGTTGATGGAACAATCTGGATTTCTCATATTTAATAAAGAAAAACAAACCGAAATTTTCATGTCTTTATTTCTCACAATATAAGTTTTCAAAATTTAACATGGACCGGGTGTCTTTGTCAGTCAAAAGCACCTAATTAAATTCCAGGAGAAAATAATTTTCTTGCTTGTAAACAATTGGTACAATGTACTCTTTTAGTGTCTGATAAATATTAGCCATTTTGTTTTGTGAGTGAATAAGGCTTTTCACTTCCTCGTCCTATTCAACTGAAATGTGTCAGGAAGCACATTTGTTGATTGAATGAATATGGCTTTTCACTTCCTCGTCCTTTGACAGGACGCACATTGTAACCAGTGTTTTACTGTCAGCAGAAAGCTACCCAAAACATCCATCACCGGATACTAGTACTTCATTGTGTTGACTCGCTGGACTCAAAGCCTGAAATGAATAATTCAATAATATTGTAATAATATTTCTACTTCCATAATTTGTTTTATAAACAATGCATATTCACCTTCTCTCAAAATATTGGAAGGAAGACTGTCATGATGTCATTGATTTGGGAGACTATACTCAGTGTCAGCAAGTTTAGATGATGGATGAGTTTTGTTTGAACATATTTTATTCATATTTTATTCATAAAGAATTGGATTGTGAACATGTCATCCAACCTAGGACTCTCCATGGATCAATACAAACAGCGAGACCTCACAGCATCCACTGGAGAGTGCTGTTCTTGAAGAAACTTGAAATGTATGGCACAGAAACAGACTCGCTTTTCCTTTAAAAGATCGCATATTATTAAATTTAATTTTCATTATCAGATAGTATTTCAAATTTCAGGAACTCCCAACAGCTCCATTGTCCTGTACGAACATCATATCCCACAAGTTGATCAGTGAGGTGAGGTGAGGTGAGGTGAGGCGAGGCGAGGCGAGGCGAGGTGAGGTGAGGTGAGGTGAGGTCGCGTCCAAGACGTACGTGTGTGTGTTTGTGTGGTTGCTTGTACTGGTCCGGACTGATGTCGATTTATAGTGCTAGCCTACTGAGAAACCATGCCGCAGTTTAGCATGAATAGCAGGTGACTATGCTTGTCGTGAGAGGTGCCTAATGGGATCGGGTGATCGGGTGGTCTGGTTGATGCATGTCATCGTATCCAAACTGCATGGATCGATGCTCATGATGTTAATCACTGGATTGTCTGGATCAGACTCGATTATTTACAGACCGCCGTTATATAGCTGGAATGTTGCTGAGTGCGGCGTTAAACGTGGGCATTTCTTGTCGCCTTGTCTATTGTCTATGTCTCTATCTTGACTGCTGTGTGTCATTTCCTCTTTCACCAGTGCGGCGTTAAACATTAAATAAACAAACAAGCTGAGCTCGCTGCCCGTATGATGGGTACGCAGGATGTTCTGAAGGGGACTGAGTCCACATCAACCAGGGAGCCTTTCACCAGTAGAGTCCTGATAAATCTTTTATGCGGATTCTAACCCAGGAAGAGACCTGGGTCTGACACTTTGATCCAGGGACACACCTACCAACCAAACATTGGACACACCTACCAACCAAACATTGGACACACCTACCAACCACACATGGTACAAGCGAGTCATGTCAGTCATGCCTACAGGTTTATGGGGATACTCAGGGTCGACTATCTGCCACAACGTCAGACCATCCATGGGCAGTACTGGGTCACAGCAATACGTCAGTTGAGAGAAGCTGTCAAGGAACAACGTCGAGGAAAACTCACAAGTCACACGTCACAAATGGCAGTGGTTTCAAATAAATACTGGAAACAAATACCTTTTTTACACACAAGCATTTTCGACATAAATACTGAGGACTTTCAAAACCCACTGAATCCCTAAGCTTTCTAAGCTTACTTCCTTGTTTGTTGATTAACACCGCACGAAGTCTTCACGTTCTATCAACAGGCCTTAAAGCTTGAAATATTTGGTGTAACAAGGAAATAATTTCTTTGTTGTTTAACGCCGCACTAAGCAATATTCCATCTATATGGTGGCGGTCTGTAAATAAACGAGTCTGGACCAGACAATCAGGTGATTCACATCACGAACATTGAGCTACGCAACTGGTATACGATGACATGCATCAACCAAGTCAGAGAGCCTGACCACCAAATCCCGTTAGTCGTCTCTTACGACAAACATAGTCGCCTCTTCCGAAAAGCAAGGGTTGCAGGAGGCCTCTTCTCTTCCCGATCTCCACTGGTTATACGCTACCTAAGTCTCGCAATTTAAGTGGAGAAGTTGTTCACAGAGCCGAACTAAAATGGCTGAATAATGCCCATTGTTGAGGAAAATAACTGCTGCTTGTGAACAAACACTGTAACCATCTGGCCACCCTAGGTTTCAAGATACATTGTGGAGGATAAAACCTTCCGTGCTGCTTGTGAACAAACACTGTAACCATCTGGCCACCCTAGGTTTCAAGATCCATTGTGGAGGATAAAACCTTCCGTGCTGCTTGTGAACAAACACTGTAACCATCTGGCCACCCTAGGTTTCAAGATCCCTTGTGGAGGATAAAACCTTCCGTGCTGCTTGTGAACAAACACTGTAACCATCTGGCCACCCTAGGTTTCAAGACACATTGTGGAGGATAAAACCTTCCGTGCTGCTTGTGAACAAACACTGTAACCATCTGGCCACCCTAGGTTTCAAGATCCATTGTGGAGGATAAAACCTTCCGTGCTGCTTGTGAACAAACACTGTAACCGTCTGGCCACCCTAGGTTTCAAGACACATTGTGGAGGATAAAACCTTCCGTGCTGCTTGTGAACAAACTCTGTAACCATCTGGCCACCCTAGGTTTCAAGACACATTGTGGAGGATAAAACCTTCCGTGCTGCTTGTGAACAAACACTGTAACCATCTGGCCACCCTAGGTTTCAAGATCCTTTGTGGGGGATAAAACCTTCCGTGCTGCTTGTGAACAAACACTGTAACCGTCTGGCCACCCTAGGTTTCAAGATCCTTTGTGGAGGATAAAACCTTCCGTGCTGCTTGTGAACAAACACTGTAACCATCTGGCCACCCTGGGTTTCAAGATCCATTGTGGAGGATAAAACCTTCCGTGCTGCTTGTGAACAAACACTGTAACCATCTGGCCACCCTAGGTTTCAAGATCCTTTGTGGGGGATAAAACCTTCCGTGCTGCTTGTGAACAAACACTGTAACCGTCTGGCCACCCTAGGTTTCAAGATCCTTTGTGGAGGATAAAACCTTCCGTGCTGCTTGTGAACAAACACTGTAACCATCTGGCCACCCTGGGTTTCAAGATCCATTGTGGAGGATAAAACCTTCCGTGCTGCTTGTGAACAAACACTGTAACCATCTGGCCACCCTAGGTTTCAAGATCCTTTGTGGGGGATAAAACCTTCCGTGCTGCTTGTGAACAAACACTGTAACCATCTGGCCACCCTAGGTTTCAAGACACATTGTGGAGGATAAAACCTTCCGTGCTGCTTGTGAACAAACACTGTAACCATCTGGCCACCCTAGGTTTCAAGATCCATTGTGGAGGATAAAACCTTCCGTGCTGCTTGTGAACAAACACTGTTACCATCTGGCCACCCTAGGTTTCAAGATCCATTTTGGAGGATAAAACCTTCCGTGCTGCTTGTGAACAAACACTGTAACCATCTGGCCATCCCAGGTTTCAAGACACATTGTGGAGGATAAAACCTTCCGTGCTGCTTGTGAACAAACACTGTAACCATCTGGCCACCCTAGGTTTCAAGATACATTGTGGAGGATAAAACCTTCCGTGCTGCTTGTGAACAAACACTGTAACCATCTGGCCACCCTAGGTTTCAAGATACATTGTGGAGGATAAAACCTTCCGTGCTGCTTGTGAACAAACACTGTAACCGTCTGGCCACCCTAGGTTTCAAGACACATTGTGGAGGATAAAACCTTCCGTGCTGTTTGTGAACAAACACTGTAACCATCTGGCCACCCTAGGTTTCAAGACACATTGTGCAGGATAAAACCTTCCGTGCTGTTTGTGAACAAACACTGTAACCATCTGGCCACCCTAGGTTTCAAGATCCTTTGTGGGGGATAAAACCTTCCGTGCTGCTTGTGAACAAACACTGTAACCATCTGGCCACCCTAGGTTTCAAGATCCATTGTGGAGGATAAAACCTTCCGTGCTGCTTGTGAACAAACACTGTAACCATCTGGCCACCCTAGGTTCCAAGACACATTGTGCAGGATAAAACCTTCCGTGCTGTTTGTGAACAAACACTGTAACCATCTGGCCACCCTAGGTTTCAAGATCCATTGTGGAGGATAAAACCTTCCGTGCTGCTTGTGAACAAACACTGTAACCATCTGGCCACCCTAGGTTTCAAGATCCTTTGTGGGGGATAAAACCTTCCGTGCTGCTTGTGAACAAACACTGTAACCGTCTGGCCACCCTAGGTTTCAAGACACATTGTGGAGGATAAAACCTTCCGTGCTGCTTGTGAACAAACACTGTAACCGTCTGGCCACCCTAGGTTTCAAGACACATTGTGGAGGATAAAACCTTCCGTGCTGCTTGTGAACAAACACTGTAACCGTCTGGCCACCCTAGGTTTCAAAATCCATTGTGGAGGATTAAACCTTCCGTGCTGGTTTAACAATAGGATGACGTCACTGGATGTTTATAATGCTGGTGAAGCACCCGTCATTCAATACGTGCCACAGAATCCTGCTTCGCTTATTGGGCTTCACCTATTTTATATTACTTCATTTTAGTTTGAAAAATATTTAAAAAACCATAAACCGGTAAATATTTGATAAGCCCTTCCTGTTGTTCGTCCTGAAGCCGGTGTTCGCGATGATAGATGCAGGGCGGAAACCTAGAAGCACGTTTCTCACACTAATGTCACGTGATAGGCAACACAGAAGAACACACACACGGACATCAGGCACTGTAAGTTGACACATGACATTCTAGTTGTATAACGATTACATACTGGCATCAAGTCCATATTGCCAACAGTAATGTTTAATCGATGTCTCAAAATGGATAATTACGGTAATTATTGCCTTGCTCCAGCTGTGGTTGTAACTCCACATTATCTGACAGGATGTGCAATTATTGTGTTAAATTCGCCTGCCCAAGTGGCGCTGTTGTTGAGCGCGGAGAAGGCTCACTGTTTTAAGTACAATGATTCTTTCATACCCCCTCCCCCTCGTCCATCACCCCTTCCCTTCGTTCATCCCCCCCTCCCCTTCTTTCATACCCCCTCCCCTTCGTTCATCACCCCCCCCCCCCCCCTCCCCTTCGTTCATACCCCTCCCCTTCGTTCATCACTCCCTCCCCTTCGTTCACCTCCCCCTCCCCTTCTTTCATCATCCCCTCCCCTTCGTTCACCACCCCCCTCCCCCTTCGTTCATACCCCCCTCACCTTCTTTCATCACCCCCTCCCCTTCGTTCATCACCCCTCCCCTTCGTTCATCACCCCCCCTTCGTTCATCACACACACACACACACACCCTCGTTCATCACCCCTCCCCTTCTTTCATCACCCCCTCCCCTTCGTTCATACCCCCCTCCCCTTCGTTCATCACCCCTCCCCTTCGTTCATCAGGAACCCCCCCCCCCCCCCTTTATTTCATCCCCCCTCTCCCCTTTGTTTATTGTGGTAGACAGTATTAATTTAACACATTGTGAATGTAATCGAAGACGATATCTGCCTCGTCGCGCTGATGAGAGTTTATCTTTGTTTTATTTACGCATCAGCATTGAGTGAGAGAGCGTGACCTGAGTGTGAGGGGGTGCGTGCGTGCGTGTCAGAGTGAGTGAGTGTGCGCGCGTAAGTGAGTGAGTGAGTGAGTGTGCGCGCGTAAGTGAGTGAGTGATATTTTACGGAGTAGACAACATTACGGGCAACTAACAGGTTTGGGTCATACAAAAGTCTATACATACCTCGCCGTCGGGGTGCGAGGTCACACTATCAGTCAGGTAACAGAACCCGACCACTCGGTCCTAAGCTGTACCCACAGCCCTTACGAGTCGTCTAGATGGATCGGATGGTCAGGCTCGGTGACTTGGTTCATTGTGCGTCATCCTTCCCCGGGGCTTGGGGCGTTAGTCCTAATATCAATCACTGGTTTGTCTGGTCCAGGTTCGATTACTTGTAGTCCGCTGTGATACAGCTGAATCAGTTGGAGGAAAAACACTCAGGTGATACTCGTCCATCACTTTAGTGAAGCCCACGAACAGGGCAGGTAAATCTTGGGTTAGAAACCACAACTTTGTATTCTGGCAAGTCTAAGGGACACAACTCTGCACAGAGATTTCTTTGTATAAATACTAGGTCTTGGAGTTTTTCACTGAAAATGGCAAGGCTTTATTTCGCAATTATATCGATTTTTGTCAATTTTGCATAACGGATATCCTCTACTTTAGGAGAGAGGACTATGAAAATAACACCAGCCGATTGTTGGCTGCAACGGCCTTATCTTGGTCGACATCTCTCACAGACACACAGCGTGCGTCTTGAAGCAGTGACTAAGCACATATCTTGTCTCCAATAACTCCCGCTCCGGTCCGGGCTGTGAGACACACAGCGTGCGTCTTGAAGCAGTGACTAAGCACATATCTTGTCTCCAATACCTCCCGCTCCGGTCCGGGCTGTGAGACACACAGCGTGCGTCTTGAAGCAGTGACTAAGCACATAGCTTGTCTCCAATACCCCTCGCTCCGGTCCGGGTCGTGTGATTATTCATGTATATATATCGTGTTCACTGACAGGGGTTGTTAGAGACGTTCTACTGTATATATATCGTGTTCACTGACAGGGGTTGTTAGAGACTTTCTACTGTATATATATCGTGTTCACTGACAGGGGTTGTTAGAGACTTTCTACTGTATATATATCGTGTTCACTGACAGGGGTTGTTAGAGACTTTCTACTGTATATATATCGTGTTCACTGACAGGGGTTGTTAGAGACTTTCTACTGTATATATATCGTGTTCACTGACAGGGTTGTTAGAGACTTTCTACTGTATATATATCGTGTTCACTGACAGGGGTTGTTAGAGACTTTCTACTGTATATATATCGTGTTCACTGACAGGGGTTGTTAGAGACGTTCTACTGTATATATATCGTGTTCACTGACAGGGGTTGTTAGAGACTTTCTACTGTATATATATCGTGTTCACTGACAGGGGATGTTAGAGACTTTCTACTGTATATATATCGTGTTCACTGACAGGGGTTTGTTAGAGACGTTCTACTGTATATATATCGTGTTCACTGACAGGGGTTGTTAGAGACTTTCTACTGTATATATATCGTGTTCACTGACAGGGGATGTTAGAGACTTTCAACTGTATATATATCGTGTTCACTGACAGGGGTTGTTAGAGACTTTCTACTGTGTATATATCATGTTCACTGACAGGGGTTGTTAGAGACTTTCTACTGTATATATATCGTGTTCACTGACAAGGGTTGTTAGAGACTTTCTACTGTATGTATATCGTGTTCACTGACAGGGGTGGTTAGAGACGTTCTACTGTATATATATCGTGTTCACTGACAGGGGTTGTTAGAGACGTTCTACTGTATATATATCGTGTTCACTGACAGGGGTTGTTAGAGACGTTCTACTGTATATATATCGTGTTCACTGACAGGGGATGTTAGAGACTTTCTACTGTATATATATCGTGTTCACTGACAGGGGTTGTTAGAGACGTTCTACTGTATATATATCGTGTTCACTGACAGGGGTTTGTTAGAGACGTTCTACTGTATATATATCGTGTTCACTGACAGGGGTTGTTAGAGACGTTCTACTGTATGTATATCGTGTTCACTGACAGGGGTTGTTAGAGGCTTTCTACTGTATATATATCGTGTTCACTGACAGGGGTTGTTAGAGACTTTCTACTGTATATATATATCGTGTTCACTGACAGGGGTTGTTAGAGACGTTCTACTGTATGTATATCGTGTTCACTGACAGGGGTTGTTAGAGACGTTCTACTGTATATATATCGTGTTCACTGACAGGGGTTGTTAGAGACTATCTACTGTATATATATCGTGTTCACTGACAGGGGTTGTTCGAGACTTTCTACTGTATATATATCGTGTTCACTGACAGGGGTTGTTAGAGACGTTCTACTGTATGTATATCGTGTTCACTGACAGGGGTTGTTCGAGACTTTCTACTGTATATATATCGTGTTCACTGACAGGGGTTGTTAGAGACGTTCTACTGTATATATATCGTGTTCACTGACAGGGGTTGTTAGAGGCTTTCTACTGTATATATATCGTGTTCACTGACAGGGGTTGTTAGAGACGTTCTACTGTATGTATATCGTGTTCACTGACAGGGGTTGTTAGAGACGTTCTACTGTATATATATCGTGTTCACTGACAGGGGTTGTTAGAGACTTTCTACTGTGTATATATCGTGTTCACTGACAGGGGTTGTTAGAGACTTTCTACTGTATATATATCGTGTTCACTGACAGGGGTTGTTAGAGACGTTCTACTGTATATATATCGTGTTCACTGACAGGGGTTGTTAGAGACGTTCTACTGTATATATATCGTGTTCACTGACAGGGGTTGTTAGAGACGTTCTACTGTATATATATCGTGTTCACTGACAGGGGTTGTTAGAGACGTTCTACTGTATGTATATCGTGTTCACTGACAGGGGTTGTTAGAGACGTTCTACTGTATATATATCGTGTTCACTGACAGGGGTTGTTAGAGACTTTCTACTGTGTATATATCGTGTTCACTGACAGGGGTTGTTAGAGACTTTCTACTGTATATATATCGTGTTCACTGACAGGGGTTGTTAGAGACGTTCTACTGTATATATATCGTGTTCACTGACAGGGGTTGTTAGAGACTTTCTACTGTATATATATCGTGTTCACTGACAGGGGTTGTTAGAGACTTTCTACTGTATATATATCGTGTTCACTGACAAGGGTTGTTAGAGACTTTCTACTGTATATATATCGTGTTCACTGACAGGGTTGTTAGAGACTTTCTACTGTATATATATCGTGTTCACTGACAGGGGTTGTTAGAGACTTTCTACTGTATATATATCGTGTTCACTGACAGGGGTTGTTAGAGACTTTCTACTGTATGTATATCGTGTTCACTGACAGGGGTTGTTCGAGACTTTCTACTGTATATATATCGTGTTCACTGACAGGGGTTGTTAGAGACGTTCTACTGTATGTATATCGTGTTCACTGACAAGGGTTGTTAGAGACTTTCTACTGTATATATATCGTGTTCACTGACAGGGGTTGTTAGAGACTTTCTACTGTATATATATCGTGTTCACTGACAGGGGTTGTTAGAGACTTTCTACTGTATATATATCGTGTTCACTGACAAGGGTTGTTAGAGACTGTCTACTGTATATATATCGTGTTCACTGACAGGGGTTGTTAGAGACTTTCTACTGTATATATATCGTGTTCACTGACAGGGGTTGTTAGAGACTTCCTGACAGCACATACTCGTATCGTGGGTGCTAAAAAGGACAAGTTACAAAGTCTTCACGTTTTATCAACAGGCCTTAAAGCTTGAAATATTTGGTGTAACAAGGAAATAATTTGTTTGTTGTTTAACGCTGCACTCAGCAACATTCCAGCTATATGGCGGCGGTCTGTAAATAATCGAGTATGGACCAGACAATCAAGTGATTGACATCATGAGCATCGACCCACGCAATTGGGATCGATGGCATGTATCAACCAAGTCAGCGAGCCTGACCACCCGATCCCGTTAGTCGCCTTTTACAAGCATAGTCGGCTTTTACGGCAAGCATGGGTTGCTGAAGACCTATTCTACCCGGGTCTATTTACTTTTTAAAGCAGGGATGCGTTGTACTCACAAATTAATCAGCATACACCCTCCCACCCATACAGACCTATTGCTGAACCATGCCGATGCCGATAGCGAGTCTGTTTATTGCGGTGGCCTATACTAGTTTGGACAAGACCCTCCAGTGATTCATATTTTGACCAACTGACCCTCGATTCATTTAATCATCTCTTACGACCCGTATAGTGATAGGGACCAATTCTAACCCGGCATCTCCACAGTATTAGTGAGTGAGTGAGTGAGTGGATTGGCGAGAGTGTGAAATAGGGTTTACCGTCGCGTTCAAGGTAATTGCATTTATTTAGCGATGTTCATGCACGTATACAGTATACTGACTCCGAGCAGACCAGTCCTTTAGATTTATCCCCTTCATGCCGAGTGCCAGGCAGAGAAACAACAAGTATCATTTTTTAACGACTTTTGGTATGACGCTAAGGCTCCATCCAACCGACAACGGGATGAACGTATAAAATGGCAGTGTGACTAAAAGAACGTGTGAAAAGATAAACAAAATCTGGAATAAGGTCAAGGAAGAAAATACCTGATATGTTAATGGAATATTATTTATATAGTGTGCTTTTCTAACTGGTTCTGCAAGTTTTCATCTCGTTAAAATTAGTGGACAATCGCTAAGGAATATTCTAAAAAGCATTGACCTTCATTTTGGAGGTGATCTCCTATTTACTGATACCTGACAGATATTATATGTGGATGTGGTTGTAGATGTCCCTGGGATGCTGGGGACGCTGCCATAGAGGGATGAAGGAGCGGTCGTGGACGTTGAAGCGAGCGACCGTCACACTGGGTGCGGGCATGCTTGCCTTCTATGTCCTCAGCGTATCCTACACAAGGCTCACGCGAGACGGGCGCTGTGAGATCTACAGACACTCCAGTTACCATGGTGACCAAATGTCCATAGCAACCGTCAGTGAACACGTCAACGATGTTGATTCATTGGGACGTGATCTAACCGACGCTAAACTGGAGGCGTTTGTGCGTTCCGGGCAGGTGTTGAACGAGTATCAGTTTGTGGTCAACTCCGAGGTGTGTTCCAGCTCTGGTGTCCCCCAGTCCGTGTACGTTGTGGCCATCGTGCCCTCTAAACCGTCTCATTTCCAAGAACGCCAAGCAATACGGGAGACCTGGGGATCACAGTTCAATAAGAATGAAAAACTGAAACTGATTTTCTTATCAGGACTAGCGGAAGAGATAACAAACATGCAACTGTCTAGTGAGCGAGAGACATTTTTCGATGTTGTGCAAGCAAATTTTATCGACTCCTACAAAAATCTCACACGTAAAACTAACGCCATTTTGCAGTGGTCAAAACAGTTCTGTTCACAGGCTCGGTACGTGATGAAAATTGACGATGATGTTTTTCTCGACACTGACAAGCTACTGCAGACATTATTACACCTTGAAGTGGAACCACGTCTCATTATCGGATATATAGACAATGTGGAACTGCCTAACAGGGATCCGTCCAGCAAGTGGTATTTATCACAAGAAGAATATCCATTTAAACAATTCCCACGCTTCACACAAGGACCATCATACGTGATCTCGCGAGATTTGGTGGCCGACCTGTACGAGATTTCCCGTCATGCACCACGTATACATTTAGAGGACGTATACGTCACGGGATTATGTGCACATGTTGCCCGTGCTACCCATGTCGGTGCGTGCGGGTTCGGTATAGCGCCAAGACACGCCTCGATGTGGCTGCTCAGCGCGGCGGTCACTGGACACCAGTATACACCGGAAGTGATGTCACAGTCGTGGACACGTGTTCAATTCTGGCGTGCCTGGCGCGCGCCTCTCAGATGTCTTGGATACATTATTGGATACTAAATGAAGTATCATGTCTATAAATGTTATAGGTAATAAATAAATAAATAAATAATGTCTGTTTTTTACCCGCCTTCCTTGTAATGATGAACAATTTATAAGGATTTCAATGACAAAACCCCCCCAAATAGTTCCTTGTATATACTGCTCACAAAAAGTAGGGGATGTTGAAATTATAATCAGTGGCACAAAGACAGTAATATAGAGGCCTACAAATAATTTATGTATGATTGAGGAAAAGCATAGGTCAGTCTGAGCATGCCTCACAATGACCACCAGATGCCCTTGCATCCAGGACAATTGCACCCATACGTACCAGGGGGTGTGGATGAGAAATCACATCTTGTGTCACACGTGCAAATGACAAAATCCACGTGCCTCACGTGCAAAAATGGGTGTTAACATGGGTTTTGGACCAAGTTCATCCATCACTTCACCACTTTCCACAATGCGAAGGTTACGAGAAGACGAAAGATTGAAGCAATTGGGATGATCCAGACCGGAAGAACGAAGGCCTACACAGCAGCACAACTGCATGTCTCACAGTCAGTAGTCAGCCGGTTGTGGGCACGTTACATTGCCACTGGAAGGGTACAAGACAGACCCCTAAGTGGTCGTCCAAAATGCACGACCAGACGTGATGACCGGCGGATCATCACTGGAGCCCTCCGTGATCGACGTTTAAATGCGACACAGCTGCAGGAGGTTCACAGACATGCAACTGGGAATCTCATCTCCACACAGAGGGTACGAAACCGGTTCCATGCTGCAGAACTTCGAGCAAGGCGACCTTACATCACATTACCCCTAACAAACCATCACAGACAAGCCCGGCGAGAGTGGGGTCGTCGTCACCAGAGGTGCAGCAATGCCAGGTGGTCCCATGTGATGTTCAGTGATGAGTCGAGGTTCTCTTTAGACTCCAATGATGGCCGTCATCGTGTCTGGCGTCGTCCTGGTGAGCGTCATCAGCCAGCTGCCATGATTCCAAATGATCGGTATGGGAGGGGTTCTGTTATGGGGTGGAATCACGGTGACAGGCAGAACCGATCTCCACATCTGCCAAGGAAGAGTTACAGGTGTTTACTATCGGGACAACATCACCACGCCACATGTCCTGCCATTTGCACACCGTCACGGACAGGGTTTCATCTTCCAGGACGATAATGCCAGGGCTCACCGTGCGCACGTCGTCCTTAACCATTTGCGGCGGCACCAAATTGAAACTCTTCCATGGCCAGCGATGTCCCCCGACCTCTCCCCTATAGAGCATGTGTAGGGTATGCTCGGAAGACGAGTGCAGAGGCGGCATCCCCCATGTCCAGACTTGCAACAACTGGGCGTGGCACTCCTAGAGGAATGGCAGAGGATTCCCCAAGTTCACATTGGTCGCATCATTAGGAGTATGAGACGTCGGTGTAATGCTTGTTTGACTGCTAATGGTGGGCCAACCCGGTATTAACCCATTTGTGACTTTTGGGTTTCTACTCCTCATGAACTTTCCAGTGTCTACAAAATGAAATTGAAGCTTGATCAAAGTCATTACTTTCAAAACTGTTTCTTAACATCCTTATTTCCACATTATTATTGTTTCCCAATGAAAATTAAACATAATTCTGAAACTGTTCGTCGTAACTTTTCAATATCCCCTACTTTGTGTGAGCAGTATATATATGGTACCTTGTATTATTGAAATCCAGACAGTGCCCTCTGCTACCCTTTGTGGAATGGCTGACTTGAGGCTATTCTGTCTTACTTTAATCTCCAGTAGAAATAAAGGTCCCAAACAACCCTGTGCCTGTTCTAAGTTGACGACACCTTTGTCATCCTCAAACAAGACCAAGACCCAACCCTGCTACTACAACATCTTAACCAACAACACCCCCGAGTACAGTTCACCATCGAAACAGAAAAGGACAACCAACTACCCTTCCTAGATGTCCTCGTCTGTAGAAACTCAGCTAACAATCCAAACCAGTGTCTACCGGAAGCCCACCCACACCGACCAGTATATCCACTTCAACTATAACCACCCTCTCAGAACCAAGACTGGCATCATCTCCACCCTTACCAAACGTGCCATCAACCTTTCCTCTGCTGACCCCAAACCTGAGATCGCACACCTCCGCCAAGTCTTCACCCACCTCAACAATTATCCACCAAATCTCGTCGACAAAGTCATCGCCTCTGTACTCCATCCCACACCCAGACCTGCGACCCTCAAACCCGAATCAGCGCCCTTCCGCATCGCCCTCCCGTTCATAGGAAAAGCCTCCCACATCATCAGCCGCCTCCTCCAACAGCAAGCCAACATCGACACCCACTTCACCAGCTCCAACTCCCTCAACACCCTGCTAAGAGCCAACGGCAGGAACACATCTAAACCCCAAGAGGTTAAAGGTGTAGTCTACAAAGTTGACTGCAACTGCGGGCAATCTTACGTAGGTGAAACATCCCGCCCAATCAACACTAGAATCAAAGAGCATAAAACCTCCACCATCAAATCCGACAGCAAATCAGCCATCTCGGACCATATCATCAACTGTCCCAATCACATCATCAACTGGGACAACGTCCAAATCCTCGACAACAACCTCCATGATTTCACCAAAAGAAAACTAACAGAAGCAGTCCACATTCGCCGCCACAACCCGTCAATCAACAGAGATCAAGGCTATTTCATCCCATCCGCCTACTATGAACTCATCAAACAATAATCACCTGTTTATTGGCTTCATGCCCCATTGGCTTCTAGCTATGTGTTTTCTGTCCATCGTGTTGTGATAGCATCATCCTTGTTGTCACACCTACCTATGTTATCCCACTCATGTATGCCCTTGTTGTTACTGTTAATCCTCCACCTACTATATATATTCTGCACTATGTCCCTCATTCAGTCTTGCTTGACAACGGTATAAGGATCTATACCGAAACGTCGCTTTTTACAGTATTAAAGAAGTTGTTATCCATAAAATTGTGTCTATCTTGTTCTAAGAGCCTACGAAAGGGTCTGGCAGTCAGGCCTCGTGACATTATGATAGCACGTCATAGCATCTCAGTTCCAAGGACCAATGCTCATGCCAATCACTGGATTGTCTGGCCCAGTCCCCATATTTACAGACTGCCAAAAGTAGCTGGACCATGGCTGAGTGTGGCGTCAAAAATAAAGATGTTCAATCCCGAAAGGGTCAACAGGGACGGTCTCTTCCTACAGCATGCTGACAGGACACAGATAACATCAGCCAACATCACAGAAGTACCTTTTATTGAATGAAATATAAACCTGTGTTGAGACAACACAATGAGCAAACACGAGTGCATAACATACTGCTGTTAGCTTTACAGTAGTCATTGGAAGAAAACATACCTTAATTTTAGAGTTTTAAATAAAAACGTAGACATAAATAAACATTCTATAAATATATGTAAATTATATAAATGTATGCAAATCTTGACATGCATTAACGTAAATGTTGAAATTTGTAACGGTATTAACAACAGTTTGGGTTAAATTCTATTTATAAATCTCTATATATAAACACGACATGTATCCAGGGTAAATGTGTAGCGAAATATGTCTGTAGTCTGTATATTTTTTTGTAGATATATTCAAGTAAGCTCGGAAATCTACCCCTTTTACGGGAGTGACATTGAAGAGTTGCTTGCACTGTCATACTGTCATGTATCAAATATAAACATAAAAAGACGTCAAACAATGTTGTATTACTCAAAACGACAAAGTGGGGAATATTATTAAACAAAAACAGTGACTTAAACGATAGCGCCATATGGGTCCTGAATTGAATTCCGCTGGCTTTGTGCATGAACAACAACAGTTTTAACAAGATTCTACAGAACAGTACTCATGAAGTGAGTGAGTGGTTCGGTTGGGTTTACCACTGCTTTGATCAGTATTTCAGTTATATCCCGGCTTGCCAGCTTGATGTGGAGGGACGTTGTAGTGATGCAGGTCTTAGACGTTTACTACTTCAGTTATATCATGGCTGGCCAGCTTGATGTGGAGGGACGCTGTAGTGATGCAGGTCTTAGACGTTTACTACTTCAGTTATATCATGGCTTGCCAGCTTGATGTGGAGGGGCGCTGTAGTGATGCAGGTCTTAGACGTTTACTACTTCAGTTATATCATGGCTTGCCAGCTTGATGTGGAGGGACGCTGTAGTGATGCAGGTCTTAGACGTTTACTACTTCAGTTATATCATGGCTGGCCAGCTTGATGTGGAGGGACGCTGTAGTGATGCAGGTCTTGGACGTTTACTACTTTGGTGAGACCCACCAGCACCTTAGTGGTTGTTTATACAAACAAACCCAACAGTAATTGTCTGGAAAACAGCGTGTCCACATTAACAAGGTTTCACTGTCAATAGTTCCACGACCAGATATCCACAAGCAGTTGATAGGGCCTTGATAGCTCTACCTCTCTGTGAAACCATAGAGTTAGCCCCAGGCACATTTTGTGGACCAGAGAGTAAATACTGGGTTTAAAAGGGTTAAAATACTGTGCATGCTCTTACCACAAGTCCATATATATATATTTATATATATTACGCATCAAATACAGATGTAATAACAATATAGTCTATATAGTGTTTCTATAGAGGTCAAGTGTGTATACTCTCTAAACCCATGTCATGTAGTTATATATGTGTCTCTATGGAGGTCAAGTGTATATACTCTCTGAACCCATGTCATGTGGAGTTTCATGTGTTTCTATGGAGGTCAAGCGTATATACTCTCTAAACCCATATGTCATGTTGTAGAGTATTATGTGTTTCTATGGAGGTCAAGTGTACATACTCTCTAAACCCATGTCATGTAGTTACATGTGTCTATGGAGGTCAAGTGTATTAATCTCTGAACCCATGTCATGTGGAGTTTCATGTGTTTCTATGGAGGTAAAGTGTATATACTCTCTAACCCCATGTCATGTTGTAGAGTATTATATGTTCTATTGAGGTCAAGTGTATATACTCTCTAACCCCATGTCCTGTAGAGTTCTAAGTGTTTCAATTGAGGGGAAGTGACTATAGTCTCTAAACAATGTATATGTCATCTTGTGTTATACTCTCTAAGCCGATGCCTTCTTCTTTCCTTTCTTTGCAAACCATTCATCACTCTTGTCTTTTGACACAGCCTGCAAACAAAGGGTTCAATGATAACATAACCGTCACACAGACACACACACACATGCACACGCACACACCCAACAAGTAATGTTGTTGACCCATGAAGATCCTGGTAGAAAATAGATCTTCAGTAACCCATGCTTGCTGTAAAAGGTGACCATGCTTGTTGTAGGAAGTGCCTAACGGGATGACTTGCTGACTTGGTTGATGCATGTTATTGTATCCCAATTGCGTGGATCTATGCTCATGATGTGAATCACCGGATTGTCTGGTCCAGACTCCACTACTTACAGACCGCCATCATATAGTTGGAATATTGCCGAGTGTGGCATTAAACAATAAACAAGCAAACAAACAAAATAACGTTGTTACAGGGAAACGAGAAACTACATTAAAATAATGTTTTAATAAATGAACATACTGTAATACTGTAATAATTCCTTTAATTATTTTTTCCATGACCTCTCACCTCGGTCAGGAGATCATCAGCCTTGGGGTCCGTCTGTGACAGCTCCCTGAAGGCCTCATCTCCGACAAAACAGATCTCATGTCCGTCCTGAAACACATAAGCATGTTACTGTTTTGTTCTGTGAAAAGAATTGTTTCCTGACTGTCAAACATTAAACTTTTGTCACCAAGCGCCCTGAAAAAGCTGATTGAGACGACCTACCGGGTCAGCTACGATGACCATCTGGATTGAGACGACCTACTGGGTCAGCTACAATGACCACCTGGACTGAGACAAGCTACCGGGTCAGCTACGATGACCACCCGGATTGAGACGACCTACCGGGTCAGCTACAAAGACCACCTGGATTGAGACAACCTACCGGGTCAGCTACGATGACCACCTGGATTGAGACGACCTACCGGGTCAGCTACAATGACCACCTGGACTGAGACAAGCTACCGGGTTAACTACGATGACCACCTGGATTGAGACAACCTACCGGGTCAGCTACGTTGACCACCTGGATTTAGACGACCTACCGGGTCAGCTACAATGACCACCTGGACTGAGACAAGCTACCGGGTTAACTACGATGACCACCTGGACTGAGACGACCTACCGGGTCAGCTACGATGACCACCTGGACTGAGACGACCTACCGGGTCAGCTACAATGACCACCTGGACTGAGACAAGCTACCGGGTTAACTACGATGACCACCTGGATTGAGACAACCTACCGGGTCAGCTACGATGACCACCTGGACTGAGACGACCTACCGGGTCAGCTACGATGACCACCTGGACTGAGACGACCTACCGGGTCACCTACGATGACCATCTGGACTGAGACGACCTACCGGGTCACCTACGATGACCACCTGGACTGAGACGACCTACCGGGTCAGCTACGATGACCACCTGGACTGAGACGACCTACCGGGTCAGCTACGATGACCACCTGGACTGAGACGACCTACCGGGTCACCTACGATGACCATCTGGACTGAGACGACCTACCGGGTCACCTACGATGACCACCTGGACTGAGACGACCTACCGGGTCAGCTACGATGACCACCTGGACTGTTGCCTTCCCTGGTGTGTCCAGACTGATGAAGGGGGTGAGGATTGTCTGGTTGTTGTCCTTCATCAACTTCTCAATGCCAGGCAGCTGAAACACACTTCACACGGTCATCAACTTCTCAATGCCAGGCAGCTGAAACACACTTCACTCAGTCATCAACTTCTCAATGCCAGGCAGCTGAAACACACTTCACTCGGTCATCAACTTCTCAATGCCAGGCAGCTGAAACACACTTCACTCGGTCATCAACTTCTCAATGCCAGGCTGTTGAAACACACTTCACTCGGTCATCAACTTCTCAATGCCAGGCAACTGAAACACACTTCACTCGGTCATCAACTTCTCAATGCCAGGCAGCTGAAACACACTTCACTCGGTCATCAACTTCTCAATGCCAGGCATCTGAAACACACTTCACTCGGACATCAACTTCTGAATGCCAGGCAGTTGAAACTCACTTCACTCGATCATCAACTTCTGGAATTGTGTTTGAATTGGTTGTACACAGATTGCAGGAGCAGACAGTTGGCTCACTGTGCCTGGCACTCCAGGGTGTGGTTAGGGTTCCTGAGAAGTGATTTACTGTTGCATTACTTCTAACTATATAGGAAATCCAAATATTTTGGCAATCTTTCAATTCAAAAGTCATGATGATTAAGTCATTTTACATGCCAAAGCAAGAGAAAACTATTTTAATAATGAAATCTTCACCACATAAAAAGCTCACCTCATCTTTGGGACATGAGAAAGCCACTCTCCCAAAGGCTGTGGCATGATCCACTGCGCTCCCAATGTCCACCAGTTCCAGCTTACACTGAAAGAAGACAACGATACATTCAGATTTCCTACATCTTTTAAAACAAAACAAATGTAAAACTATTGGATACATATCCATGCGTACAGTCCACTGCATATTGCAATGCATGTAGCGTGTAGATGATTAAACAAATGTACAGTATTTGTCAACTGTACAGAAACCTAGGACCTCTGTTTCACCTGGTTGTCACCGAATCCGAGTACTGCTGTTTTTTCCGTCTGAGAATAAACTTTCATCCCAGCCAACTTGGACCAGAAATCTGTAAACATGAAACAAAATACCATTTTACTCTTCTTCATAAAAAAAACATCTTCACTTTCCTCCATTCAATTACAACTTTACTCTCCCCCATTCAATTACAACTTTACTCTCATGATCATGATATCAGTCTGGATTGTCCAGTCCAGACTTGATTATTTACAGACCGCTGTCATATAGCTGAAATATTGCTGTGTGCGGCGTTAAACAACAAATCAACCAACCATTCAATTGTCACTTTACTCTTTCATTCAATTTTAACTTATCAAATTACCATGGTTACATACCTACTGATTTCTGTAGGCTTGATGATGCCAAGGTGACTTTAGTGACCGGGTCTGAACAAACATGTACAATACACAATGTCAGTGGCTGGGAAACAAGCGGATAGTAGATGGAAATCTTAACATAAATATTTTTCCTGATAATCTTAGAAATTCTTAATTAAAGTTCAAAGACAGTCATGTCTTGAACATGCACACTTACATAAGGAATTAACCCTCATTACATAAATGAATGTTTACTCTGTGCCGTCATTCCGCCTAAAAAGCCCTGTAAGAAAGTTTGACTTTTCCTTTGGGGAAATTTTCTTCTTCTAAATTCATAACAATCTTTACTTAATAAAACTGCTCATACAGTCAATGACAGACTCACGGACCTGCAGCAAAATATGTTTTTTTGTAAAATCCAGCTCACCTCCCTGAACATCTTCACTGATGATGATGAACTTGTAGCCATCTGGAGCCAGGACGAACGTCTGCCCGTCGTCCGTGGAGATGGGGTAGTTGTTCTTCCGAGCACGATCCAATATGGCCGATGATGACACAGTCAACCCCTGAAGCAGGGAGAACTACAATATCTGTCTCCGACTAGACTGAGTGAGTGAGTGAGTGAGTGAGTGAGTGAGTGAGTGAGTAACAAATCACTCTATTGGTGTGTGTGTGTGTGTGTGGATGCGTGCTTCAGTGAGTGACTGAGTGTTTTTTTATTTGTTGTTTAACACCACATTCAGCAGTATTCAAGCAGTATGATGGCTGCCTGTAACTAATCCTGTCTGGACTAAACAATCCAGTGCACAGCTGGAATATTGCTGAGTGCAGCGTGAAAAAAGAAACACATCATTGGAAAAAGTTTGGTCGGAATTATCATGGTCCAAGCTACACATTGTTCTTTAAGAACTTTTTCAAACATCACTAATTGGAGTGCTATATTAGACAACACTGCCACCAGTAAAACACTTTCACAGTATTCTTTTAACAGGTTTTATGAATACTAAAAAGTAATGATTTTCTAAAGCAAGACTGTGAACTCTCCTCAAGACCTACATTTTCAGGTTTCCCATGTTAAAAAAGTTGATACTTTTCAATTTCTTGATATACTTTCTTTTGATGCATTAATTACCCTGAAGTCATTCCCCACTTTGTAGGTTCCGATCCCGTAGTTGTAGGTGAGCTCCACAACGAAGTGGTTGTCCTCTGGCCCGTACCCAACCATGGACTTGCTCCACTTCCCATCATATGGTCTGAAAGAGGAAATAACATCGGGATCTATTCCTTGGAAACTGTTTTCACAAAGTAGCAAAATATTTTTTCACATCCATGCTTAATTGTTAGTGTTTGCCAACAAATCACAAACATCTTGTCACATAATCTACACACATGAATTTCCCCAAACTCAACTGTTGACACACAAGGAGTACTGAATGTGTACCAACACAGCCAGGGTATTTACCAAAAGCTGAAGTATCCTTGACATGTGTTGCCAATATCAAATTAAATATGCAGTTGACAAAAAGACATTGTTTGGGATGTAAGATGTTTTTGGAGCACAGATGACACATGGTACCTGCGGGATGCCACATGATACCTGGGGGATGATGCAAAACAACAGCTGGATGTTGACCAGATATATCTCCATGTCGCCTCTCCAGATATCTCTGTATCATCTTACACATCAAAGAGTCCTCACTTGCGGACATGACAGTCATATTTACTTAGGGCCCTAGGCACACAGTAGGTCAATATTCTCTGACCCAACAGAATAGTCAGGGCACTGTATTACCAACCAACAAACAATGCCCCTGTTTGCACAGTAGAGAAAACATGTGTTTCCCTTGACAATATCTACTGCAGTTTCATGTATACTCACCCATTACAAGAAGCCTTGCATCCCTCTTCAAATTCTTCATGGCGTAGAAACTGGTGGAAATACAATTCAAATTTGACACAATTAGACGTATGAATAGAGGTTACTGCTCTGATGAGCTTCCTTAGAGGAGAGCAAGGGCTTTCCCCTACACGCCTATCAGACACATATCCAGTAATCTGAGGCTGGAGGGGTCCACGGCCACTTATTCCCGAAGTGGACAGAATCACATGAGATACTGTAAATCTTGAAATTAACGCGAACGTGAATTAAATGCGAAAAATGCAAGTGGTCTTTGCTTGCATTATTAAACATCGCATTTATATCAACAATAAGACATTTTGGATAGAAGAAATACCAACTAGACATACGCTAAAAACAAACAACTATGTATTCCACATCACTGTTTATTGAGCAGCACTTGCAACAAGTATATAAACAATGTCATTCAAACACTCATTACATCCTGTGAATTGTCACTGCTGGGGTCAAGACAAGAGTTCTACTCACTTATGTCATCACTGATCACACCTGCAAGTCCAGACAGACGCCACCCACGCAACATGATGTCTTTTTTCTATGCGACTGCGTCAAAGGCTGACACGAGCCAGCGCACATATATTGTTCTTGCGGAAGTACTCTACTCAGCGCTAATAAGCAGTGCTATTTGGTGTGTGATTTGATTAATGTAAGGTTGGATGAGGGTGAGGATTCCCCTGTAAACCTGACAGAGGACATTTTCTTTAGATATAAATCCATTGATGCTTGAGAGGAGGGGGGAGGCTAACCAAATAAATAAACAAACTGACCCAAACATAGCTAAAACCACCACACTTGCATACATACACGAAAATTGGCCAAATTGGTGTCACATATACACTGACGGATCTTCAGACCCGATCTCCAACCACACAGGCTTCGGAGTCCATACCACACAACCAGTTATATCCACACAATCTTACCGACTCCCTAACAACCAATCTATATTCACGGCCGAACTTATGGGCATGGCCTCAGCCCTGCATAACCAACAATCTAAAAACAACAATAAAATCCTAATTCTCACCGACTCCCTTAGCATGCTTAGTGGACTACAAGCCCTCAAAAACAAAAATACCAAAAAATGACCTAAATTAATAAACCAAATACTTAAAAGCAAACAAATAACCTTCTTGCGGATCCCCGCCCACGTAGGAATTTACGGCAACGAAAGCGCCGATAAAGCAGCTAAATTATCTCTCAAAATACCAGAAATAAGCCTAAACCTACCCATCTCAAAATCAGAAATTGAAAGTGTAAACAAACAAAAAATAACCAAAAAATGGCATAATCGATATCAAAACTCAAATAGCCAAATCCTACATCCCTACAAAATTGACAGATTAATTACAAAACTCCAAACAGGACACACGAACCTAAATAACCACCCAAAAAAACTTAAAAGACACACCACAGGCAACTGCCCCCACTGCAAACAACCCGAAACCACAGAACACGCACTCATCCACTGCACCCACTACCAAACACACAGAACCACACTACAAACCACCCTTAATCTAAATAAGGTTCCTACTCTAGATGAAATACTAAACCCTCAAAATAAACTAGAAAACTTCAAGGCCCTAGGCGTATTCCTAATCAAAACAGATCTAATTAAGCGCATTTAAAAACTCATTAATCTACCAATCCAAAATCCAATAAACATACAAACACCCACCTCACCCGGCTCCCTTAGTTCCCTCCTCCACCTACCTCGGCATTTATTCCAAATTTAAAAATTCCAAAAATTCAATATAAGCAACCCCTAAAAGCCCCCTCTTGTGTTGCACACACCACTTTCACCCTTCTCGGAATACACTAAATGGTCAGGCCAGGCCCGTGTGCGAAATACGCTACAGTCGGAAAGCGCACGTTAAATCTCCTATATCAGTCAGTCAATCAGTCAGAGGAGGGGGGGGTCGCATTTATATTGAGTCACATTTTTGGCTAACGGCCAGCGGTCGCAATCTTTTGGAGACGCATTAATTTCACGATTTACAGTATATTGAGGGACTGACCCCAAGCACCCTACTGAACCAGATACCGCTTACTTAACTTCCATCCAAGTACCTCTGACAAATAGATTTCAATGAATAAATATCTCAAACTTTTAAAAATTGAATAACTTAGAACCAAATCTGAGGCTAAAGTTAACGGTCTTTGTTAGTTTATATAGCCAATAGAGCTCTATCTCTGCCCAAGTACTGAAGACCTTGGGTGAGAGGTCAACCCTATTGTTGATCCTGTCAATGTCAAGTAGGTTAAAGAGATAGTAAAGATTCACAGTAGAGCATACAATACTATGAGAAACATTGGATTTTGAAGTATCTATGCACAGCCTGTCCAAATTAAACATATATGAACAGAATACAAATTCAATTCATTTCATTAAACATTATATACATCATACCCATAAACATAAAATAGGTATGAAATTAGAGAAAGAGCGCTATCGACTAGCCAAATCCTCACTTTCATCCCCAGAACATCTTTGTAGAACTTTGCTGTTTCAGTTCTGTTGCCAACTTTGAAGACAAAATGTAAAGCACGTCTGGTCGACATCGTAGAAGTTTTGTTGAAGTTTCTCGGGGGAGTCTGCTGTAGTCGCGTATCTCAGCCTCTAAGAAGAACAATGCCGTGACTTGCAATAATAACCGAGCGCTGTCTTCTTGAGATTTACCCGCCTCGTGTGTTTACTCTCTTGACACTACACATCAATGGTCACATGACACTCATGTGGTTTGGTGGTTTGACTAGACGCCTGTCTACCTCGCACGCGAACCAACAATTGAACCAGTTTAAGAGTGGAGCTTCGATGTACGGACGGCATTGATTGGTTAATAGTGTTTCCGGTTCAAGATGTCTGCCTCCATGGCATCACGCTTTTGCCAGAGGTCCCTTCAAATGGTTACAGGCATAAAGGGAATACGCTCTGAATTTCAAATAAGAAGCTATGCGCGGGGTACCCGAAGAGGTGCACAAGGTGTTTTCACTGTTGACGAAGAACGGAATAAATGGAAAAATAAAATGACATTTGGTAGTCCTCGCAATAACCCCTATGTTCCATTTGAAAGCCAAGACCCCGTTCAAAGAAGCTTTGTTGACAGACATTCTGATATTTTGAGACCAAGAGTAATTAAAAAACCTAGAAGAGTAGTATCCTCAGCAAACAAAAATGACGACAATGAAACCCTGGAAACATCAACAAAAAGAAAACTGCCTAAATACGAAAAACTTACAGAAGGGGACAAGCGTTTCGGGTAAGACTAAAGAAGTGGTTTGACTCTAATGGTGGTAACATGGTTATATAGCCAAATGCAGCGTTCATACAGTGTTCAACATTCATACGACGTAGTTCACGCTCGTTATCAATTACCAATCAACAATAAATATGACGCTCGTAAACATGGTACATAATGAAAATATTGACATTCATTTCCAGTATTAGTGACAAAATTTGCGATATTGGAAAGGTTTCAGGTTGAAAAAAACACCTCGACCAAATTCTCATGAGGGTACTATCATAAGAGCTTCAAGATGTTTATTGTATTCAAGGCCACATGACGCATATTACATGAATATGTATAAATAAGTGTAGTTTACAGGAGGTTACGTTTATCTATCTTTATATCCATTCCCCATTTATCTGAGTACACATGTTGTAAACAAAGATGCTCCTGTGACTTGAACATGTTTAAAACAGAATCTGCTACACATGTACAAGGATAAGATCATCAGCAAAGCAAATGAAAAAGCAATTTAACATTTCTTCAGAGATAAAAATATCATCATCATCATGGCATATATTCAGAAAGTTCTTTGATGTACATAAAAAATAATAATGGACCTAATGTGTACATCTCTGGCATACACGGCTGGAGCGTGTGAAATAGTCTGACAACTGCCTACCTTTATCAACAATAACTGCCCCCAGGGTTATACAGGGATGTGAAATCTCCGCGGAAACGCGGAAAATCGCGTTTTTTAAAACAGTAGTCCTCGGAAAAAATCATCTTCCGCGTAAAAATTTAACTAAAAATTAAAAAAAAAACACTCCGAAAAATATGATCGAAAACCGGACATTTGGCGCGGATTGTCCTGTTTTCGATCAGGGCTTTCACCAGCATAGGTTTTCGGACATCATACGTTTTCTGTCACGAATACTTGCACTATAACGTGGGGTGTGGCGTCACACAGAAATTGTAAATACTCAGAGTCAGTTGATGGCTTGTTTTTAAGATAAAGTTGTCTTTTAGCCTGTAAGTGAATGAGATGTTTTACAGTTGTTCATGTGATAAGCGAAAAAACTATGAATGTTTCTTCAGCGTCCAAAACCCCATGTCATGGGGATATATGTTGTATTAATGTCTTATGTTTGCAATGGAGTTTTGTTTTTTCCATCAAAAGGTAAGTACAAGGTAAGTTTTTTTCACTATGCTTCAACATGGGGAAAGGGTCAGACATTGCACGCCTGTGACAGTTGTCCTTGTGTCTGGGGGATGGGGGTTGAAGTTTATGGCAGTATTGCTCCCAGACCTGGCGGGTAGCCAGGTGCGCGAAAACTATGCCCGATTTTTTAAAAGTACTGATTTAACTTCGAAATTTTACTGCATCTGCCATCTTGTTTATTTGACTTATTGACTTTTGCCATTGACTTATTACATTTCTTGGTGTGAATGTTGTCCATACTGCACGAAATTGCTTAAAATGCAATCAAATGTTTTAAAAATTTCTGGGGGGGCATGCCCCCAGACCCCCCCTAGACTTTTCCTCTTTTTTCGGGAAAACCTGCTCACATCCCTGGTTATACCTTGACCTACAAAACTAGGGGTCCAGAAGACCCCCAGTTACTTATTAGAGGGTCCTCACAGGAAATATGAGGGTCCTGTAAATTAATGAAATGGTACAGTGTACCGTACTGCAAGATTTAATAATAACTTTATTTACCATGTTTACAAGAACTAGATATTTGTTGTCAAGAATTTGGAACAATGGTTATTGTTTGTGCCTCGGTACTGGTGCTTGTTTGACATTGCTAAATAGAGCCCTGGTATGTGTTGTCGTATTCTCCATGGATATACATGGATTTACTATTCTTATTGTGTTTTTATCTGCTTAGTAAGACTCATCAGAGACTTCAGAACATCCATGGAGTCTTCTTCAAGTTGTAAGTCACCTGCACCTGTTAGTGTGGACGGTCAGGATTCCTTTGGACCCGGGATGCTCTCCATGTTTTCCATCCTGCCTAATCAAGGGAGTTAACTGGCGGCAACAGCTCAGTTTTCACCCATGCCGAACTAGGCTAGAATTCCTGGGCTCGATTGCAGCCCCACCAGTGGCTATTACGAGTTATGTCCCTTCTCTGTCACTCCTATTGACCAATTAGATTCCACCTCTCATATCACTTGCAATTGCTTCAAACAAAATGGCGGCACCCAGTCAAGACCGTCTGATCTATAATCAAGATCTATATTGTAATAAAACAGGCTTTACCTCGCAAACTGCATCAAATCAAGTGAGCACCTTGATTATAAACATGAAAAGATTTGGAAAATATATGTTGACGCAAAGTGGATGGTATACATGCTCTGCAAATCCTGCACAGCAGTTTATGAACTGGATGTCAATTTTGTTACAAGATTTTGATTGAACTATTCATAGACTCGTTAGTCCAGGCAAAATATAAGATGTACGACTCCTGCCAACACTCCTGTGTTTGTAAAATGTCTCGTTGAAAGTGTTTGTCAACATTAGCAAGATTAGGTTACCGAGAAACTGGGTCACAATCGTTCATCTGAGAAGCATGCTGCATGTGCAGCCGCTTATGTCATGCTGGGTGTTACCATGGTTACAAATGAAATTGTTAGTGAGTGGAAAATGTACTTTAAACAAATTCAGAACAAACCTTGTACACTTGTCCAAATCCCCATATAGTTAGTCAACACAACACCAAACAGAAGAACAATGTACGTCATCAACGAGGCAGACAACAAACATGTCTCATCCCTTGACTTCAATGTTATCTGCGTCGACGTTGTTATTTTGTCTTTGTCAGTTTGTCTCTCCATTGTTCAACAGGTATTCCCATGATGTGTGGTACTATCCAAAGTAACCATGGTAACTGCTGAGACTAGTAAACTCCCAGACTAATTATGAAATCAGTCAAATCTGAGCCTTTTAACTGCGGGAATTTGTAGCTGAACACAAGAAGTTTTTATTTTTTTCTAAATGCTGTCAATTTCAGCCAGGTAATCCTTGCTGCCAAATCAGGAAAAGAAAGAGAAAAGAAGAAAGTGGTACTCTTGGAGGGTTTCCGGCTGATAAGAGATGCCATCGATTCCGGCGCCAGTGCCAAGTGCATCTACTTCAGTGATACAGACTTTCTGGACCGACTCGGCGCCGTGAGACTCGGCAATATGGCGCTGTACAAGGTCCAGTATAGAGACATAAAGTCATGGTCGGATACACACACGCCAGCAGGAATTATGGGTAGGATGTTCTTTTATTATGAAAACGGGATCGGGTGGTCAGGCTCACTGATTTGGTTGATGCATGTCATCGTATCCCATTTGGGTAGATCGATGCTCATGATGTCAATCACTGGATTGTCTGGTCCAGACTAGAGTATTTACAGACCGCCGTCATATAGCTGCATATAGCCTTCATATGAGTGCGACGTTAAACAAACAATCAAAACGTTATGAAAAAACGGAAACGGGAAGTCTTTCTACTCTTTGGATATGTGATCAAATTATGTTGACATATTTTTGGGAAGGTACATCATCCACCGTGATGTTTCACACATTGCCATAATCATGATAACAGATCAGCAGAGAAAAGTCTTGTTTCTGGTTCCATCCATTATGATCCATGCATGACAAACCTGGTTTTCCCGATCCATGCATGACAAGCCTGGTTTCCCCGATCCATGCATGACAAGCCTGGTTTCCCGATCCATGCATGACAAGCCTGGTTTCCCCGATCCATGCATGACAAGCCTGGTTTCCCCGATCCATGCATGACAAGCCTGGTTTCCCCGATCCATGCATGACAAACCTGGTTTCCCCCGATCCATGCATGACAAGCCTGGTTTCCCGGTCCATGCATGACAAGCCTGGTTTTCCCGATCCATGCATGACAAGCCTGGTTTTCCCGATCCAAGCATGACAAGCCTGGTTTCCCCGATCCATGCATGACAAGCCTGGTTTTCCCGATCCATGCATGACAAGCCTGGTTTTCCCGATCCATGCATGACAAGCCTGGTTTCCCCGATCTATGCATGACAAGCCTGGTTTCCCCGATCCATGCATGACAAACCTGGTTTGCCCGATCCATGCATGACAAGCCTGGTTTCCCCGATCCATGCATGACAAACCTGGTTTCCCCGATCCATGCATGACAAGCCTGGTTTCCCCGATCCATGCATGACAAGCCTGGTTTCCCCAAACCATGCTTGACAAGCCTGGTTTCCCCGATCCATGCATGACAAGCCTGGTTTCCCCGATGTTTAGGCCAAAGTAGTTACTTGTTGTACAGATTTCTTTGCAACAATACTTGAAAATAGACGGGAGACAAATTATGATAAATTCAGTTGGTAAAGTATTGTGTTTTTCATCTCGCACACACGTTTTTTGTTCATTTGTTTGGTAAAACACCTCTCATTTCTCTTCAGACAATGTCTCGGGGAAGACTGAATAATCAAAATGTCAATGTAACAATATTTTGAGATAAAAGGTTGTCATACTATTTTAAGTTCTGGAATTTTTTTAAACTGTGGCAACCAGTTACGAAACAAAAGTACATAGCACTGTAACCATGGTAACACAAGTAAAAATTACAATAGTCTGGCCAGTTTTGAGTTTTTCCAAAACCAAAAGACAACAGACTTTATATTTGATAATATGTATGCAGCCTTCAAAGAGAATCTACATTCGTAAACTGCGTCTTTCAGCGATATTTGAGAAGCCGAACCAGGGCGAGTGTCCCAGCCCCCAGGCGACGAAACTCCCGCTGACCCTGATCTGTGACAATGTCCGGGACCCCGGGAACATGGGCACGCTGATCCGCACGGCGTCGGCAGTGGGCTGCCACAGGGTTCTCACTACTAAAGGTGATTTCTGTTGAACATTGGGACTTATAAAACAATGCAAACATTTCCTTCTTATTATTCCCAGCAACGAAGTGGAAGAGGGATATAGGAATGGGTGCTGTCCGTCCGTCCGTCTGTCTGTCACGTTTCTTTTCCGGAGCAGAACTCAAAAAGCATGAGAGATATCTTAACCAGACTAGGCACATTGATAGGTCTAGTGGTGAACTTGTGCCTTTTGATAGTTTGGAATTTTTAAAGAAATTATTTTTCGAGTTTCCATGGCAACGACTTTGACTTTGACAGAGCAGATCTTGAAAACCGTAAATTATTTCTTCCCTAAACTTGGCACATCGATAGGTCTAGTGGTGAACTGGTGCCTTTTGATACATTTGTAGTTTGGAATTTTTGAAAAAATTAATTTCAAGATCTAGAGCAGATGGTCAAATGTATATCAGCATGTAAGATGTACAGAGTAGAAACACTTTGTCTGCAGTATGTACCACTGCATTGTGAAGTTAGACGGTTGAAGCTTCAAAATTATCTCCCTTGGTTTACAAGTGTGGGTTACCTTCCTTTAGTGAATTCTGAATGTGGCTGATGCAGATTGTCAGTCATGTTGGAATATTATTAAAGATATTGAATATAAGAGTTATGTCAAGATGAAATTGGATTTATCATATTATGTTTAACAGCCCTTGTTTTGTTAAATCTGGATGTTAAAATTTACTTTGATGTCAGCAATAGATTTTCTAAAATCTGGACATGTGGTGACTGTATGCAGAAGTATAGCAATAGGCTGAGAATATCTTCATAAATTGTCAGTGAGTAAATTTAGGATCAACACCATTTTAAGCAGTATTTCAGTTCCATCAGGATGTGCCAGCTGGATGTAGGGAAAGCAGAGTGAAGCAGGTGTTAGGTGTTTACCACTGGTGAAACCCACGAGCTGGATGTAGGGGAAAGCAGAGTGAAGCAGGTGTTAGGTGTTTACCACTGCTGAAACCCATGAGCTGGATGTAGGGGAAAGCAGAGTGAAGCAGGTGTTAGGTGTCTACCACTTTGGTGAAACCCACGCGCTGGATGTAGGGAAAGCAGAGTGAAGCAGGTGTTAGGTGTTTACCACTGCTGAAACCCACGCGCTGGATGTAGGGAAAGCAGAGTGAAGCAGGTGTTGGGTGTTTACCACTTTGGTGAAACCCACGAGCTGGATGTAGGGGAAAGCAGAGTGAAGCAGGTGTTAGGTGTTTACCACTGGTGAAACCCACTAGCTGGATGTAGGGAAAGCAGAGTGAAGCAGGTGTTGGGTGTTTACCACTTTGGTGAAACCCACGCGCTGGATGTAGGGAAAGCAGAGTGAAGCAGGTGTTAGGTGTTTACCACTGGTGAAACCCACGCGCTGGATGTAGGGAAAGCAGAGTGAAGCAGGTGTTAGGTGTTTACCACTTTGGTGAAACCCACGCGCTGGATGTAGGGAAAGCAGAGTGAAGCAGGTGTTAGGTGTTTACCACTGGTGAAACCCATGAGCTGGATGTAGGGGAAAGCAGAGTGAAGCAGGTGTTAGGTGTTTACCACTGGTGAAACCCACGAGCTGGATGTAGGGAAAGCAGAGTGAAGCAGGTGTTAGGTGTTTACCACTTTGGTGAAACCCACGAGATGGATGTAGGGAAAGCAGAGTGAAGCAGGTGTTGGGTGTTTACCACTGGTGAAACCCACGAGCTGGATGTAGGGAAAGCAGAGTGAAGCAGGTGTTAGGTGTTTACCACTTTGGTGAAACCCATGAGCTGGATGTAGGGAAAGCAGAGTGAAGCAGGTGTTAGGTGTCTACCACTTTGGTGAAACCCACGCGCTGGATGTAGGGAAAGCAGAGTGAAGCAGGTGTTAGGTGTTTACCACTGGTGAAACCCACGCGCTCGATGTAGGGAAAGCAGAGTGAAGCAGGTGTTGGGTGTCTACCACTTTGGTGAAACCCACGCGCTGGATGTAGGGAAAGCAGAGTGAAGCAGGTGTTGGGTGTTTACCACTGGTGAAACCCACAAGCTGGATGTAGGGAAAGCAGAGTGAAGCAGGTGTCAGGTGTTTACCACTTTGGTGAAACCCTAGAGCTGGATGTAGGGAAAGCAGAGTGAAGCAGGTGTTAGGTGTTTACCACTGGTGAAACCCACGAGCACAGGTGCAGTGTCGACAAACCTAAAACAGTCATGGCTCATCAGGATTCAAGCCCATGATAATAGGTTTCTGGAGCATCTAAGGGATGCAACTCTGCATGACATGTCCTAATTCAGACAAGGGGAAAGACACATTTCTATCCTATTTTTTTGTCTGCATATAATGTAGGGGGTATAGTTGATGCCTCGTCCCTCTGTCCATTCGAAATCATTTTGTTTCCAGAGCGTAACTCGAAAATCAATCAATATTTTTCAACAGAACTTTGCAGATACATGTATATCAAACAGATCCTGAAGTGGTGCCTTTTGCTATTTACAGATTCTTGGCATTTTTGTTTTTCTCGATTTCCATGGAGACAATGTGTACTTAGTCTCATAAGGGAGTGGATTTTGTTTCAGGAGCACAACTAAAAAAAAGTTCAGTATCTTTCAACAACACTTGGCAGATATATCAAACAGATCCTGAAGTGGTGCCTTTAGCTATGTGCAGATTTGGGGTATTTTTAATTTTGTTTCCTGTTTCCATGGCAACAAGTTTGACTTTGACTCTGTTCATAGTGGTGTTTTGTCAGGACCATATCTCTTAAACTAAAACATATTCTTTTGTGACACTTTGTGAAAGACCTGGTTGTCAGCTGGTGCCTTTTGCTATTAAGGGATTTTTATAATTTCTTTTTTTTCTGTTTCCATTGAAACAAGTTTGATTTTGACTCGTGTGCACCTGACATAGAAATACAAAGTTCCGACTCCCAATTCCATGGTATCATTTTGACAGCTCATTAACTACTCTTGTATACGGAAAGACAGATTAAACAGATTCTCATCAAGTTGGACTAAAAGTAACAGAAGATTTGTTCTTTCCAATTTGTGGTGACTGGGGTGATTTGTCGTCTTGTGATGACTCTAGTAATCAATGTATGCAATCATGCACGGTATGTGAGTGTCTCATCACTGTCTGTTCCCAGGTTGTGTGGATGTCTGGGAACCCAAGGTCATACGAGCAGGGATGGGCAGCCATTTCCACATCCCCATCCTCTCCAGCATCCCGTGGGAGTTACTCATCAACTATGTGCGCGACGATGATGACGTTTTCATCGCTGAGACAGCAAAACAGGAAAAAGTCCAGGCAAAAAGGAAAGCTTTCACACCGGATGACTTCGAGCAACTCTCGGAGGAAGGGACTTACAAGATCTCTGAATCCAAGATGGCCGATTACAGGGAGAAGTATGGGTCATTGATGGAGGACGGTGTGTTGGATATCCATGAAGAATATTTACACAGTGACCATGTCCGGCACTTTGCTCACGCTCCGATGAGTTTCGTGGACTATGATCACCTGACCTGCTCGAAGGATGGAGTGACAGTGATCATCGGGGGAGAAACCACGGGGGTTAGTGCCGCGGCAAGGAAGTTTGCGTACGACAGGTACGGTCAGAGTGTGACAATTCCCATGTCGCCCACTGTGGACAGTCTCAACGCTGCTGTCGCTGGAAGCGTCATCTTGTACAAAGTACATCATCTTTTAGCTTCTAAGAGGAAATAAAATATGGAAATATCAGTGTGTTTCTTGCTTTCCATGGCTTCTTTCATCAATTCGAACACACATTTATTATTTTGTGTTTTTCGGGCAACGCCCCTACTGAAAACCAGCTGGAAAAGAAAGAAATTAAACAAATTGTCACCCGCTAGTAATATAGACCCTCTTATACATTATAAAATGTCATATATCAATGCCATGTCTTCATCACTATCAGTGAGTCATGAAGCCAGCTGCAGTTTTAATTCCACTGCAGAAGGACTTTCATAAAAATAAATTAATGATTGACATAACTATTTATGTTTATTATACCCCCGTTTACGAAGTAAATCGGGGATATATAGCATTCTGTTCGTCCGTCAGTCCGTCCTTCCATCCGAGCTTTTGTACGGCCCATAACTTTTTAACCATGCACCCTAGCTTCACCAAACTTGCTACACACATTTACCACAATGAGTACTTGAGCCTTTTGCTAGTTTGAAGATTCTGAATTTTTTTATTTTTGCCGTTTCCATGGAATCATGGTGAACATGGTGAAACATAAATTTTTGGTAGAGTTTTTGTACGATCCATGTTTACAATATTATGTATCCTAGCTTCAGCAAACTTGCTACATTAACTGCTATGATTGTTTTTTTAATCTTTTATAACATTCTGAAAGTTTTGTCTTTTGCTGTTTTCTTGGAAACATGATGGAATTTAGAAAATTTGATGACTGGTTTTGTATAGCTAATATATTTTCAAAAATTGTTTCCACACATGTAGACATCATAAGTATCTGTGCTTTGTGATAGTTTGAATTTATGAATTCCTTACCATATCTGTTAAGGCTAGATGGAAATTATTAATTTATTGATTTTCTTATATGATATTGTTCCATTTTTTATGTGTTTTTATATCAACAATTTTTGGTCCTTTTGATAATTCTTATGTAACTCCTCCATCAAATTTTTATTCAAAGGTGTTCATTGTGATCTACTTCCTCGTAGTGAACACTGGTAACATGGGAGATTTGGGGAGGGGGGGTGCAATTGTCACAGGAACTCAATCTTAGTTTTTAAAACATTGAAGTTAAAATCAGTTAGAAATATGTAATATTTCATTAATTAACAAACTATTTACTATTTGTTGTTGACCAGCGGGGATAACGGGGGTATGTGAGCTTTGCTCACTTCTTTCTTGTTTTTATTTTGACCAACCTTGTGTTGAAAAACAGTTGGAATAAATCTGTGAAACATGTAATTCAAGTGTTGCCTTAACAGAAATATGGAGGAACTGATAAATATATTGTGTTTGTTTCGTGTTGAAGATTAGAGGGAGTGAGTTGGAAGTTAAACCATTATCAACAGTATTTCAGTGGGGAGGGTGGTGGCTGTGTTCATGCATTGTGTCTCATTGCTAAAATTTATACTTCTTCAAAAAGACTTCTGATGGGGATTCTCTGGTAGAATAGATCCCCAATACTCAGGTGTTTTACAGGTGCAGACTGACCTGATGATTGGGTGGTATCACCTTGGGCCCCTGCTGTTTGTGTGTCGGTCAGAGACCTGGATCCTGTTTCACGTCAGCAATATGGTTGACTGGCCCAAACTCAAATAACTAAACTGCAAGTGGCTCCATGGCATGTGATAAGCTGAGCAAGCCATTATTTCTGTGTTAGTTGTCCATTCATCTACGATTAACTTTGTTTTTTAAGAATTGATCATATAACTGTAATCCTAATTTAAACATTAAACATATTTCTTCATAATTCCGGAGAGCTACAGGTGCTTTGTGGCTCTGTGGCTCCGTGGCTCCGTGTTTGTGTGCTTCTAACCATGCTGAGTGTTATCTGGATTAATGCCGCAGTCCGCAATATGACAGCAGTCTGTACATAATTAAGTCTGGACCAGAGAAATAATGACATGCATTAATCAAGTCAGAGAGCCGGACCGCCAGATCACTTAGTCGCCTCTTACGACAAGGATAGTCACCTTTTACGACAAGCAGGGGTTGCTGAAGACCAGTTCTAACCCAGACCTATACTGACGGAACACCATCTGTGAAAACACAAACTAACATCTGTGAGCTATGTACACTTTTATTTACATGAAGTTCCACAATTCCTGGCTATACGACCCCCCAGACTTCCTCAAACCCTGAACAGACCTTGGCACAGGTGAGGGCAGCGGAGAGGGGGTAGTTGCTGATGGAGTGAGTCTTCTCTGCGTAGTCAATGTCAACCTGAAACAGAGGAGTGAGACCATGACAATGTCGGTGTCAATACTTCTCAGATTTGTATATATGTTTGCCTGTGAGGAGGAGGAGAAGGAGGAGGAGGAACATCCTCAGTCGGAGAAAGAGGAATTAGAAAATGGAAGCAACGTTTTGGAAATTCAGGATCAATCGTTTGATAGGCATTACTTAGAAGTTGACGGATGACAAGGCAGACACAAATCTTATGGATAACAACTTCCCTGATCAAGGCTATTTCCTCCCATCCGCCTACTATGAACTGATCAAACAATAATCGCTTATCCTGTTTAATTGGCTTCATGTCCCTATTGGCTTCCACCTGTGTGTTCTCTGTCCATCGTGTTGTGACAGTATTATCCTTCTGTTGTCAACACTTACTCATGTTATCCCACTCATGTTTGCCCTTGTTGTTACTGTTAATCCTCTACTGTGAATCCTCCACCTACTATATATATTCTGTACTATGTCCCTCATTCAGTCTTGCTTGACAACGGTATAAGGATCTATACTGAAATGTCGCTTTTTACAGTATTAAAGAAGTTGTTATCCATAAAATTGTGTCTACCTTGGCAATACAGGATCAGCATAAAAATGGCAGCTTTAAACCCACATTGAAATTAACATAATATATTCCCACCAGGCCATCATTCAAGTCTCATGAAATATAGCACCGAGAGAAAGAATACTGGAATATGTTTTAAAATGTTCAAGTCCACCGTACTCTGATGATGTCGTGAAATGCTTTGCTGTGCTGTGCTACTGTGTTGTGCTGTGTGCTATGTTCAGCTGTGCAGTGTTGGGATGTTGTGTTATGCTGTGCTGCTGTGCTGCTGTGTTGTGGTGTGATGTGTTGTGATGCTGTGCTGTGTTGTGATGTGCGATGCTGGGATGCTGTGCTGTGCTGTGCTACTCACTTTGCCATGAGCCATGGCACCAATGACAAAGACGACAGGTTCATCAGTGGGAACAAGGTCACGAACATTGACGCAGTCATCGGCGCTGAAGGACATGACAACTTTCTTGGCGCCGACAGGAAGATGGTCAGTGATGGGGTTCCTGATGACCTACATCCATAAAACGGTCAAGAGTTACCAGTGTTGACAGGATTGATCCAGTACAGTGGAATGTTCTCACTGGATTCACATATGTCTCAAGCCTCTTAGACAAATATCTGTGTGGTTATTAGTTAACATGTGAAATTAATAATGTAAATATTACTACAAGATCCTTGCTGCAAAGATGGTTAACAAGGGCGTGGATGAATAATTCTTCAAAAGTCCTCCTGTTGACCAGCAGATAGCAGAAGCCGCCTGTCCCAGGGTGAGTGAGGGGATGGGGGTCAAGTCTGGACCAGATACTCCATTGTCGATAACATGGTCAACACAGGTTGCTTTTCTGGCTTCATTTATTAAATATAAATCAAAGGATTATGTAAATAGCACTTAAAAAACAACACCACATATCTACCCAATCCTATAACTGACACTCATTGGCATTTTACAGATTAAAAGACGTTAAACTTAGAAAATATTTATGTGTTGTCACAACAGCCTATAGCATATGTCACCTTAGTTTGGGATGGTCTCAAAATATTGCTGTTATTGTATTTTATTGAGATATGTGTTGACGGGGTTGACGATGTATACAGCACTGAATCAAGAAGTGGGTGTTGTTCTGCTGATGATTTTCTCATCTAGCATCTGACTCCGCTGATGACGTACCTAAATCTGTCATATCCAAAGGTATGATAACTGGTGCAACAAGGGATATCCGCCGTCACGTTGGCAGAACTGACGTTCTATTCATAAACGTTATCTTCAGCCTTTCGCCATACCTGTGGTAATTCTAGCACAGGCTGCGTTGATAATTGACCTTTGACCTTTGTGAATTTGAATGTGGCCTTATGTCTTGCCACAAACCCTTCACAGTTAGGTCGAGGTCATAATGTCTGACCAGCAATAGGGTCGAGGTCATAATGTCTGACCGGCAGTAGGGTCGAGGTCATAATGTCTGACCGGCAGTAGGGTCGAGGTCATAATGTCTGACCGGCAATAGGGTCGAAGTCATAATGTCTGACCGGCAATAGGGTCGAGGTCATAATGTCTGACCGGCAATAGGGTCGAGGTCATAATGTCTGACCGGCAGTAGGGTCGAGGTCATAATGTCTGACCGGCAGTAGGGTCGAGGTCATAATGTCTGACCGGCAATAGGGTCGAGGTCACAATGTCTGACCGGCAATAGGGTCGAGGTCATAATGTCTGACCGGCAATAGGGTCGAGGTCATAATGTCTGACCGGCAATAGGGTCGAGGCAACATGAGCCAGGATTGCTGCCAGGACATCTGTCTTGTACTTTACTGTTTTCGTATTCAGGCTAATTTTCTCCATGAGTTAACCTTTTGTTCTATATGGTCTGAAGTCAACATTGCAAGATGTCAGATATTCCTGCACGGGTGCCTTCAGACGTGGCAGGGTTGGCGTGACAGTATCTGGTTCCCGGACGTTATAGCCGGGGTTATCCATGACAATGACCCTGGGATTGTGAAGACTGGGCAGTCTATCAACACATCACCATTCTATCCCTTATGATAATCACCCTTTTTCTTTTTCGCCTCGAAAACTAGCCATCAATAAGCCCCAGATCATGTGTTCCAATGTTAAAGAAATGACACGATTAACTTTACCTGGTACCATGGGTACTTTTCGTCCATCAGACGGTAGCCACATGCAGTCAGTGGAATGATTCTTATTCACCCAGGTTTCATCAAGGGAAATGGTCTGGAAGCCCTGACTGCGATATTCATGAATGATGCTGGGATGTGACCTCATAAACATGATGGACTATTTTCCCCTGAAAACTGCTTAGTCATTGCCACGTGCAGTGTATCGAAGACTGATGTTGATTTTCAGTCGAGTAATGATGCAAGTCAAATGAGCTCTACTCATGAAGGTGTACAAACCCGCGAAATACTAGCAATAACGGGACAGCAGCCATGGTCGTTGTTTGTACATACTCGACAGCCACTTGGAGTACCAATGAGGAAGTTTAAAACGACAGTTGTTTCTCGGACCCACCTTGAGGAGTTTCTGAGGACCGTCAGAAGCATGGATGCTGAGCTTGTGCAGGAGCTGGACTGAAACAGTAACCATGGTTACCATTTCCACAATCCGAGAATACATGATGTATTACAGTAAAACTCTACACCTGACACACACCTAGAAGCTAAACACAATACACCTGACACACACATCTAGAGCTAACACAACACACCTGACACACACATCTAGAAGCTAACACAACACACCTGACACACATCTAGAAGCTAACACAACACACCTGACACACATCTAGAAGCTAACACAACACACCTGACACACACATCTACAAGCTAACACAATACACCTGACACACACATCTAGAAGCTAACACAACACACCTGACACACTCATCTGGAAGATAAACACAACACACCTGACACACACATCTAGAAGCTAACACAATACACCTGACACAGATCTAGAAGCTAACACAACACACCTGACACACATCTAGAAGCTAACACAACACACCTGACACACACATCTACAAGCTAACACAATACACCTGACACACATCTAGAAGCTAACACAATACACCTGACACACACATCTAGAAGCTTACACAACACACATCTACAAGCTAACACAACACACCTGACACACATCTGGAAGCTAACACAACACACCTAACACACACATCTGGAAGATAAACACAATACACCTGACACACACATCTAGAAGCTAACACAACACACCTGACACACACATCTAGAAGCTAACACACTACACCTGACACACACATCTAGAAGCTAACACAATACACCTGACACACATCTAGAAGCTAACACAATACACCTGACACACACATCTTGAAGCTAACACAATACACCTGACACACACATCTAGAAGCTAACACAACACACCTGACACACACATCTGGAAGCTAACAAAACACACCTGACACACACATCTGGAAGCTAACACAATACACCTGTCACACACATCTGGAAGCTAAACACAATACACCTGACACACACATCTGGAAGCTAACACAATACACCTGACACACATCAAGAAGCTAACACAATACACCTGACACACACATCTGGAAGCTAACACAATACACCTGACACACATCAAGAAGCTAACACAATACACCTGACACACACATCTGGAAGCTAACACAATACACCTGACACACATCTGGAAGCTAACACCAGCTACTTACCTATGAGACCACAGAACCTTTCAAATGTTCTCGGTATTCGTGTCTGTGGGTTGATCTCGATGAGAACGTTTCTCTCGGTGTGGACATAAACTTGCAGCATCCCTGCTCGGTTCAGTGGACTGTCCATCAGCATCAACAGACACTGGCAATCACACAAATGGGAAACTGGGATATATTCCAATAAATTGTATACTTATATACTTTTCCTATCTCACACACAATACGCCCACCCGACCGTCCTCACATCACAGCTCCTCTAGTCTGTTAGCTCTGACGGAAGAGAATGAGTGAGTATGGTTTTATGCCGTTTTTAGCAATATTCCAGCAATATCACGGCAGGGACACCAGAAATGGGCTTCACACATTGTACCCATGTCGGGAATCGGACGTAAGAGAATGATGTGGCAGGGGTAAGCATGTGATCAGGTTGTGTAGGTCGCTATGTGCGGGATTACAGTGTGTAACCCATTTGTTTGCTGGTGCTCTTGATGTTGGGACGTGTTCAGGTGTTCAAGCACCTTTACCACTTAGGATCGAAGAAGAAAGAAGAGACGCATAGTGTGAGATAGGATAAGTTTAACAATCAGGAAATCTTTTAAAAAAGCCTCCCTCCCCCCTCCCAGAACCCATTTCATAAAGAAATTTATCATCCAAAACAGGACATATTGCTTAGGTGAACTATCACTCCAATGAATTGCATCACAGGGCTTTGCAGACCATTGTGACATCACTGGTTACTATGACATCACAATCATATGACATCACTTATCTCTCTCACACTTAAGCTGGACTTTTTACACTCTAGTCACTACTGTTAATTAATTATCGACAAATTGAATTCCTTAAGTTACCCTGGTTACCACCTACTTGATGTGTGATGTCTGGTCTGTACTGACTGATGTCCTTCTTGAACTTCTTGCTTAGGTGTCGGTGTCTGTCACAGTTGAGCAGCTCAAACTGCTTCCCTACCTACAACAGAGAGTCAACACCCATGTATTTTATCGTCAGGTGGAGTGAGTGAGTTGGGATTTACACCGCTTTCAGCAACATTCCAGCAATATCACGGCATGGGACACAAGAAGTGGGTTTCACACATTGTGCCAATGTGGGGAATCTAACCAGGCCCTTCGGCATGATGTGCGAACGCCTTGACCACTCGGTTACACATGAATCTAGAAATGGTGGAAATATTCTGCCCTGACATTATATAATTGTACTTATTATACTATCACAATCTTGGCAGTAGTGGTTCTACAAACATGCCCATATGGCAGGGATAAATATATATCGTCCCCTTACTGATCAAACACCCCATTACGATCATTAGGGTTTGATAGCCCTTTCTGATGAAACACCCCTTCATGATTCTTAGGGTTTAGTTGTGACGTTGGGTATGGATTAGCTATGGGATCAAAGAATTAATTCAATGTAATTTGAAGAAAATCTTAACAATAGTTATGAAATTGAGAGTTTCGGGGGGAGAAAATGCCTACGGCGCATGCGCATGAAAGTAAACAATTGGCTGCAGATCACTTTGTAAACAAGCACTAATTCTTTGTGATAACACTAACTAGAATAACTCATTAGCCAAACTAAGCTTCATGCTGGCAATGCGATTTCGATCATAACATGCAGAGCTACTTGTAATCCATAATAGTATGAGTGGTAAGCTAAAGTGCAATACTCCCATTTCAGTTGTTACTGCTCATTCATGGATAGATCATTTTCGTGCTAGCAATGAAACGTTCGGAGCGTTTACCTCAAAATAAGAGACCAACTTTTACCTCTTTAGTCACTGAGTGTGCAGCATTGTAAACATATTTGGAGACAATGTAGAGAAATTAGTACCTTTTCATGTAAGACTTCCGCCCCACCCACTCACCGACTTAAAAACATTTATAATTAAAAGGATTGTGCTGCAATGCATTGTACACCGTATGTATATAATCACCTGATAATGATAACCACATTGGGCGAGATACTTGAACAAGGTGTTGAAGAAAGATCACACGTGTCTCCTTCACAATACGGCAATCGACATATATAACTTTTGAAGGGCGAGTACGGACGGAAGTCTTTCCCATTTTCATGTAACAGTTTCAACCGATAGGGGTTATACTTCGACTAGGGCTGGGGCGGGTAACTTGGGTACTCGGGTCGGGTGGGTCCTGAGTAGGACCCGGGTGCCCACAGATCTACCTGGACCCGTGGTTAGTCATGTCATATATGGTTAAATGACAAAAACAATGAAATTCCATGGTTACACTTGTATAACTCGCTAATGTTCGCATTTCTTTCTGACCATGCACAAATTCCTTCTGACTTTTATATGTTTGAGTAAAGACAAAACTTCAGTGTATGCACGATCAGATCGTTTTATACGATATCTAAACACTTTTTGCCAGGGCTCCGGTAAAAATTTTCCAATTGAACATTTTGTACCTACTCTTCAGACCAACAGTGGGTACCCGGGTAGAGTCGGGTAATAGCGGGTCGGGTACCCGGGTAGTAAATTTGGACTCGTCCCAACTTCGACTGACATGTGACACGCTGAGAAAAAAAGGACATGTGCGCGCGAAAACAGAGGATCTGTGTTAATAAGACGAAAAAATGCGTAACTGTCTCTATAGGTTTGTGAATAAATAAACCGTATTAAAGATTACCTTGACTGTTTCAAGAGATGCATTTTCTAGAATTACAATTAAACGTTTTTCCGTGGTAGATTTTGAAATGTGCTTGATGATATGTGGCTTTTCCACAGTCGCACGTTCTACTTTGTGGGCTGCCATCTTGGTTTTAAAGAAGAGTAAAAGTTAAAACGAAATGAGAAATATGTTGTAAAACATGATGCGAGTGCTATGCAATTCACTTTAAATAAACGCTACAATGGAAATATACACATGATTTTTCCCAATAAAAAAATGAACTTATGGTAAATTTTACAGACACTTTAATCTGCCGTGTTACCACAATGTTCGTGTCTGTTGGTGTATAACATTTTGGATACTGGTTTCACCTATGATAAACGCAACAAGCTAGGCGCTACTACATAGATCGGAAGACAGAACCCAGTCAAATATTTTCGTCGAACTTCTCAAGATATTTATTCGTCATTTTGAAGTATTTTATTTCGCTATATTTTTTCAAGTGTTTTTTAAGTAGGTTTAGACGGAAAGTATTATTTACATTTAGATCTAAGCTTATTTTCAGCTGCTACCAAAATTAAGTTTCTATGGTCGCCATCTTGTTGTTGTCATATGCAACGAAAACTCGGAAAAACAATGAGGAAACGGGGCGGGAATTATGTTTACAGTGTCGAGACAATTTAAGCTGATTGGTGATTAGTCACGTAATGTTGATTTCTTTGAAGAGTTGATTAATCGCTGACATCGTAAAACACGCTGAGAAAGACGGCTCAATAAACTTGAGTTGACGCCTTGGCCTACTTATTTTATGAAGTGGAATGTTGTCACTTTTGAAAGTTTAATTCCAACACTAAAACAATACTTTAAAACTCTACATGCCTACGCACTAACGTAAAACTGTTAGATATCTACAAGGGATGAACCAATTTCTGTACAAATCAATCAAAGAGTAAATTTTGAACTTTGCCTCAGTGAAAGTGAATGTTTGTTTTGTTCAAAATAGACCTTTAGAATATTTTCTTCATCTGGAGAAGATACAACCACAATGAACCGAAGACAATCCCGAACTGGAACCAGGAATTCCCAGGTTAGTTGATGGGAATTCAGAATGAACTACCTTTACTGTTGCAGTAATAAACCATTGGTATGAAACTTATCCATGATCATCACCCCAATCACTGGATTGTCTGGTCCACACTGGATTATTTAGAGACTGCCGTCATATAGCTGGAATAATGCTGAGTGCGGTGTTAATCAACAAACAAAAGTATGATAAGATGAGAAGAGAAGTTAGATTTTTTTATCCTTCAAAACTAAATTTCAACTTTTAGCTAGCGCTTGATCCAAGATGAATATTTTACAATATATATATATAAATATATTTGTTCAGTCAGTCTACAACCTTCATCTGAGAAAATCAGCATGGATGTTCAAATGTTCAAATATTACAAAACCCATATATAATACAGCCTTGTGACACAGTCATGGTAATAGGCTCTACATGAGAGGAAGTGTTGAAAAAATCCATGTCTATTGGTCATCTTTGAAAACTTTCATCAAGATTTCTAAAAGATTTACAAATATGCTTAATTTATTAACCAGAAAATGGCCAGTCATTCATCATCCTTTCCCCAAGCCTTGCTGCTCAGTAAAACATGAGTGAATTATTATTTAACGTCACATCGACATCATTTCGTACATTGTGACTGAATAAAACAAGGCTTCAGTTTGACAAGATTTCTTTATTTGAAAGTTAACTGTAATGTGTATTAGATAACAAATATTTATGGAATTGTGTAAACAAGACATCTTTGGCATCGTTATTTCATGTGTGGAGTTACAGTTGCCAGGATCCATAGGTCGTGTGTTTGAATCTAAGGTTCACAATGATTGCAATCCTTGATTTATCCACCCCATACCTGGGTTGATGGGTTTCATGAAGTGGCAACATCTGCACCCCCTCTCTAGACATCTGGCATATCACTCATTTTGTCTTGGCATCCAATTTACGAACTCGGTCATGTCAGTGTACACAGCTGGTACAAGTACATTAGACTGGGATGTTCACATGGAATACATGCCATGCTTGCTCAAATGCTGGGGGCGGGGAGGGAGGGGGAATATTTTATTGATTTGTCACACCTTCTCTCCTAACAAGGTTGGAAAAAAGAAAGATGAAAAGTACATTTCAACCTTAAAAAATTGGCATCTTCATACCAGATTAACATTTCATGGCATCCAGCGTACTGCACTGTGGCATCCGGAATACCACTAAACAGCTTGTCATCCGGTGTACTGCACTGTGGCATCCGGAATACCACTAAACAGCTTGTCATCCGGTGTACTGCACTGTGGCATCCGGAATACCACTAAACAGCTTGTCATCCGGTGTACTGAACTGTGGCATCTGGAATACCACTAAACAGCTTGTCATCCGGCATACTGCGCTGTGGCATCTGGAATACCACTAAACAGCTTGTCATCCGGCGTACTGCACCGTGGCATCTGGAATACCACTAAACAGCTTGTCATCTGGTGTACTGCACTGTGGCATGTGGAATACCACTAAACAGCTTGTCATCCGGTGTACTGCACTGTGGCATCTGGAATACCACTAAACAGCTTGTCATCCGGCATACTGCACTGTGGCATGTGGAATACCACTAAACAGCTTGTCATCCGGTGTACTGCACTGTGGCATCTGGAATACCACTAAACAGCTTGTCATCCGGTGTACTGCACTGTGGCATGTGGAATACCACTAAACAGCTTGTCATCCGGTGTACTGCACTGTGGCATGTGGAATACCACTAAACAGCTTGTCATCCGGTGTACTTCACTGTGGCATGTGGAATACCACTAAACAGCTTGTCATCCGGTGTACTGCACTGTGGCATGTGGAATACCACTAAACAGCTTGTCATCCGGCGTACTGCACTGTGGCATATGGAATACCACTAAACAGCTTGTCATCCGGAGTACTGCACTGTGGCATCTGGAATACCACTAAACAGCTTGTCATCCGGTGTACTGCACTGTGGCATGTGGAATACCACTAAACAGCTTGTCATCCAGTGTACTGCACTGTGGCATCTGGAATACCACTAAACAGCTTGTCATCCGGCGTACTGCACTGTGGTATCTGGAAAACCACTAAACAGCTTGTCATCCGGTGTACTGCACTGTGGCATCCGGAATACCACTAAACAGCTTGTCATCCGGTGTACTGCACTGTGGCATGTGGAATACCACTAAACAGCTTGTCATCCAGTGTACTGCACTGTGGCATGTGGAATACCACTAAACAGCTTGTCATCCGGTGTACTGCACTGTGGCATCCGGAATACCACTAAACAGCTTGTCATCATGCGTACTGCACTGTGGCATCTGGAATACCACTAAACAGCTTGTCATCCAGTGTACTGCACTGTGGCATCTGGAATACCACTAAACAGCTTGTCATCCAGCGTACTGCACTGTGGTATCTGGAATACCACTAAATAGCTTGTCATCCGGTGTACTGCACTGTGGCATCTGGAATACCACTAAACAGCTTGTCATCCGGCGTACTGCACTGTGGTATCTGGAATATCACTAAACAGCTTGTCATCCAGTGTACTGCACTGTGGTATCTGGAATACCACTAAACAGCTTGTCATCCTGCGTACTGCACTGTGGCATGTGGAATACCACTAAACAGCTTGTCATCCGGTGTACTGCACTGTGGCATGTGGAATACCACTAAACAGCTTGTCATCCGGTGTACTGCACTGTGGCATCTGGAATACCACTAAACAGCTTGTCATCCAGTGTACTGCACTGTGGCATCTGGAATACCACTAAACAGCTTGTCATCCGGTGTACTAAACAGGGGTTGGCACCCTCACGTCTGAAACCTGCTTTACTGTGGACTTTTCCCAAACATGAAACTGTTGAAATATTGTAAAGCACCGTTTTTTAAGTCACTATTTGCCAGATCCTCCCAGCAGTGAAGTCCCGGTGTTTGACCTTCATCCTGCTAGTACAGCAGGCATTTGTTCCAGGGCTCGAAATGTCAACTCGTTCACTCGTATTGACGAGTCGTCGCATGTGCATGGAGAGAAGGGTGTGAACAAAGGCTGCTACTTCCAGACGAGAACATGTCATATCAATTAATCTCTAATCAACTGTTAAAGAAATAAACAGTTTTGAAAGGAATGTAATTATATTTATTATTTTTGTACTTTGTACTGTCTGCCTATAATATCCTCAACTAGCAGATCCAAATTCTTGCCTTGTGATTGTGTTGAACAATAAGTTCAGAAATAACAAATTATAAAGATGTCAGAGATAAAGTAGGAACATGTCAAGTTTTGAATTAACTTCAGTCAGCACAATATCATGCAAAATCACTGAATATATTTGTGAATTTTCACTTTATTAACGTTAATTGCAGAAAATGATAATATTCTAATAATAACCAAGAACATGAAACTTTATAAAATTAATAAGTGCATGTGAAGACATCGCAGGACGAGTACAAAATAATATTCACCTGCAGGACAAGATACATTTGAGAAATATTTTGAGCCCTGCATTTTGCATCTGTTATGTGTCGTATGTAAACTTCAAGAGTGTGATGCCCAGGACATAAAGGTGGCGACGACGTGTTCATTAACAACAGTTTGACATGTTCACTTGATATCTGTTTGCCAGAAAGCCAACTACAAACAGGGCAACAACTCCAGGGGGTCATCTCGACGGCCCAGTCAGGTTCCCCGGCGCCAGTCTACTCAGGATTCCATTCTTCCAGTCTCAGACGCTGGTGGGGAGGTCCTATATGAGGGCGCAGAGGTAGGGAGCATTCATTGTCTTTCCTATATGAGGGCGCAGAGGTAGGGAGCATTCATTGTCTTTCCTATATGAGGGCGCAGAGGTAGGGAGCATTCATTGTCTTTCCTGTATGAGGGCGCAGAGGTAGGGAGCATTCATTGTCTTTCCTGTATGAGGGCGCAGAGGTAGGGAGCATTCATTGTCTTTCCTGTATGAGGGCGCAGATGTAGGGAGCATTAATTGTCTTTCCTGTATTAGGGCGCAGAGGTAGGGAGCATTCATTGTCTTTCCTGTATGAGGGCTCAGATGTAGGGAGCATTCATTGTCTTTCCTGTATGAGGGCGCAGAGGTAGGGAGCATTCATTGTCTTTCCTGTATGAGGGCGCAGAGGTAGGGAGCATTTATTGTCTTTCCTGTATGAGGGCGCAGAGGTAGAGAGAATTCATTGTCTTACCTGTCTGAGGGCAAAGAGGTAGGGAGAATTCATTGTCGCATCTGTCCGAGAGCACAGAAATTAAGGAGTCATGGGGTCATTTTCTTCTAGCATTTGAATCATGGTACCCACTAAACTTTTGACATAAGGGTTTGACAAGGCTCAGTATTGTACGAGTGCCTCCATCATTTGCTGCCACTGACCATCACAACCAATAAACATGCAACAATCTCTACTGTAAACTGACAATATATACACCACTGACCATCACGACCAATAAACATGCAACAATCTCTACTGTAACCTGACAATATATACACCACTGACCATCACGACCAATAAACATGCAACAATCTCTACTGTAACCTGACAATATATACACCACTGACCATCACGACCAATAAACATGCAACAATCTCTACTGTAACCTGACAATATATACACCACTGACCATCACGACCAATAAACATGCAACAATCTCTACTGTAACCTGACAATATATACACCACTGACCATCACGACCAATAAACATGCAACAATCTCTACTGTAACCTGACAATATATACACCACTGACCATCACGACCAATAAACATGCAACAATCTCTACTGTAACCTGACAATATATACACCACTGACCATCACGACCAATAAACATGCAACAATCTCTACTGTAACCTGACAATATATACACCACTGACCATCACGACCAATAAACATGCAACAATCTTTACTGTAACCTGACAATATACACCACTGACCATCACGACCAATAAACATGCATCAATCTTTACTGTAACCTGACAATATACACCACTGACCATCACGACCAATAAACATGCAACAATCTCTACTGTAACCTGACAATATACACCACTGACCATCACGACCAATAAACATGCAACAATCTCTACTGTAAAGTGACGATATACACCACTGACCCACCGCGAGATAGGGGACCTTATCACATTTTGAAGTCTTATTATATATAAAATAACAGTATCTTAGGACCACAAGAATACAATTCACGAGGTTCAGTTAGTATTTATAACAGATGCATGGCATTAAACATTTGGACTTATTTTCTGCAAAGTCCTAGTTTCAGACTTATAACTGTTTATCTAATCGTCTGAATGATTGAAGGTAGACATATTTGCTAAAATGTCTTGAAATGATGTTTTTTCACATTACGAACTAGTGAGAGAGAAATAAGATATGGTTGTACAGTCCGTTCACAAGGCAATTGGTGACGGCAAAGGTCTTCCTTTATGACATCCCAGTACGGGGTGTACCCTGCACTCATCAGGTCCCCGTTCTCCCGGTGGCTCACATATGTCTTTGTGTATCATCCAGCCGCTGTCGGAGACGTCGCCGCGGGCGCTGTATCGGGCGCCGCCGGGGTACGAGCTTCAGTCCCTGCACTACATCAGGCAATACCTGGAGGACACCCGGATGGAGGAGAACTTCAGTCAGCTGCTGCGGATGCTGATGGAGCGCCAGACGCTCCCGTATAATCCCTACCCAGGCCTCGTGACTCGACTCCGCCCACATGTAGAAAAGTGAGTTGTTAGATTTGTTTCACCTTCAGTGTTAATGTGTAAAGTACCTTTCTCATGCTTCTAACTTGGAAAAGATGATGTACAGTAAACTATGGTTATAACAAACTCAAAGGGACCACTAATTTTAGTTTGTTATAACTGTAGTTCGTTATAAGCATACATACAGCATACATAGAACATACATACAGCATACATACAGCAAATATACAGCATACATAGAACATACATACAGCATACATACAGCAAATATACAGCATACATACAGCATACATACAGCATGGAAACAGCATATATACAGCAAATATACAGCATACATACAGCAAATATACAGCATACATACAGCATACATACAGCAAATATACAGCATACATACAGCAAATATACAGCATACATACAGCATACATACAGCATACATACAGCATATATACAGCAAATATACAGCATACATACAGCATACATACAGCATACAGCATACATACAGCATACATACAGCATACAGCATACATACAGCATACATACAGTAAATATACAGCATACATACAGCATACATACAGCAAATATACAGTAAATATACAGCAAATATACAGCATACATACAGCAACTGTACAGCAAATATACAGCAAATATACAGCATACATACAGCATACATACAGCATACAGCATACATACAGCAAACATACAGTAAATATACAGCATACATACAGCAAATATACAGCAAATATACAGCATACATACAGCATACATAAAGCAAATATACAGCATACATACATCAAATATACAGCATACATACAGCAAATATACAGCATACATACAGCAAATATACAGCATACATACAGCAAATATACAGCATACATACATCAAATATACAGCATACATACATCAAATATACAGCAAATATACAGCATACATACAGCAAATATACAGCATACATACAGCAAATATACAGCATACATACAGCATACATACAGGAAATATACAGCATACATACAGCATACATACAGGAAATATACAGCATACATATACCATACATACAGCATACATACAGCATACATACATCAAATATACAGCATACATACAGCATACATACATCATACATACATCATACATACAGCATACATACATCATACATACAGCATACATACAGCATACATACATCATACATACATCAAATATACAGCATACATACAGCATACATACATCATACATACAGCATACATACAGCATACATACAGCATACATACAGCATACATACAGCATACATACATCAAATATACAGCATACATACAGCATACATACATCATACATACATCATACATACATCATACATACATCAAATATACAGCATACATACATCATACATACAGCATACATACAGCATACATACAGCATACATACATCAAATATACAGCATACATACAGCATACATACAGCATACATACAGCATACATACAGCATACATACATCATACATACATCATACATACAGCATACATACATCATACATACATCAAGTATACAGCATACATACAGCAAGTATACAGCATACATATAGCATACATATAGCATACATACATCATACATACATCAAATATACAGCATACATACAGCAAGTATACAGCATACATATAGCATACATACATCATACATACATCATACATACATCAAATATACAGCATACATACAGCAAGTATACAGCATACATATAGCATACATATAGCATACATACATCATACATACAGCATACATACAGCATACATACAGCATACATACAGCATACATACATCATACATACATCAAATATACAGCATACATACAGCAAGTATACAGCATACATATAGCATACATACAGCATACATACAGCATACATACAGCATACATACAGCATACATATAGCATACATACATCATACATACATCAAGTATACAGCATACATACAGCATACATACAGCATACATACAGCATACATACAGCATACATACATCATACATACAGCATACATACAGCATACATACATCATACATACATCATACATACAGCATACAAACAGCATACATACATCAAATATACAGCATACATACATCAAATATACAGCATACATACAGCAAATATACAGCATACATACAGCATACATACAGCATACATACAGCATACATACAGCATACATACAGCAAATTGACAGGATCAAAACACATTTCGTTACCGCTATATCTGTTAGTTTGCTTTAAGCGTGTTCGTTATAAACGTAGTTTACTGTATCTTTTTGATGCTAATGATAATGAACTGAAACAAACTACCTAGAAGATATCTAACATTGTTATCAGTGGTTGTCATGGTTATTACAGTGACTTTGATCTTCTTTGCAGTAATCTGAGTCTGTGATTAATATTGTCACATCTTTCATAATTTCTCCACATTTGTTTATGTTCTTGGCCTACCCTTGCTCTGTCAAATAACTTGTTCTCCAATCATTGATGTGAACACTGTGAGACAAGCTCCTACCTGGCACTTGTTTATATTTGGTCTGACGCGTCAACGTCATTCGGAATCTATATCATGTTTATATTTGGTCTGACGCGTCAACGTCATTTGGAATCTATATCATGTTTTTTCTTTAAAAATAATTTTTAAATGTTTGTTTAATTTACATGTTTCAGATTTTACAGAGATTCACACAGTCCTGAAAAAATTGAATACGTTTTGGGTGAGTGAATAATAATCACAATCACAATAGAAGTCCTCCATGGCACGGGAACAATGCTCAGTCATTACTCCATCGAGATCTGACAGGTTCTCAGCATGTCGTCGAGGGAACCCTGGGTAGACACTGTTCATGGTCATCGCATATATTCTTGAGTGGTCGTGTTTACATGTTTAGTTTTTGTTGCTGAATGATCACTTTCCATGTACCCCAGCAATGATCAACTTTCAGTGTCCCATTTTACATTATGGAAAATAGTATCATTTAGTGATGTAAGAAAGTTACGCAATAAATTGCAAAGAACAATGAAGAATGAAGCGTGGTTTATTATATGATAAAACATGACATCATTTCTGGATATTCGAACATGCGCTCGCAAGTAATTTTTGAGAGGGAAGTGTCTATTGAGTGCATAGTCATAGATGCAGCTAGGCTAAGCAGATAAACACAGTTGCGGAATGATCGCTTACAAATGCGGGAGAGACAGGACAATCAGTACGAGACATGACAATCAGTACAGATAACTGACATGAAAATTGTGAGAATATGTTGGAAAGACCAGGTTTCATCCCCTGTTCAAGATTTCAGCCATTCATGTGATCGGTACGTTTACTTACACATAAACATACTCTTCTTTGATGTATGCATCAATCAGATTTTTTAATTCAAGGAAAATGTTTTTGAAACTCTCTCCATGATAAGGGCAGAAGTGATGTGTAACCATGGTAACAGTGCACAATCTATTTGAAGTTGAGTAGATTCAATGATTTGTATGAACAAGACTACAGGAACCGATGATGATGAATGCTGATATCCCATCATGCAACTGTTCCTTTCCCAGGCACACCCCTCCAGGAGACCCCGGTGCTGAATCTGTACACGCCGAAGGACAACGAGATAGTGTGGGGTCTGTCCAGTGTGCTGCGGACGGTCAACCCCACAGCCCTACAGCGGTACCGGTGGCTGACGGAGAACATCACGCCCAACCCAGACGACCTGTATCAGTCGGAAGAGTACTCGGTGCGTAGAATACACAGAAATGAACTGCCCTGCACTCCTTTCCTTCGTTAAGTTAATGCCTCATCACTAGGGCTGGCTAAAAGATTGATAATCAGAATTATTGTCGATGAGAAGAAATCGATGCCATCGATAATATCTTGCGTAAACAATTTTGATAAAATAAACTTTAAAGTTACCAAAGCAGACTTGTTTTTGTCCACTGCTGAAGATGGAATGCATAGCCAGCATCACTCACGACCTAGTACAACAAGCAGCTGTTGCCATGGTTAGGTCCCTGGACTGTGATGGTCACCACACAACAAGCAGCTGTCGCCATAGGTTAGGTCCCTGGACTGTGATGGTCACCACACAACAAGCAGCTGTCGCCATAGGTTAGGTCCCTGGACTGTGATGGTCACCACACAACATGCAACTGTCGCCATAGGTTAGGTCCCTGGACTGTGATGGTCACCACACAACATGCAACTGTCGCCATAGGTTAGGTCCCTGGACTGTGATGGTCACCACACAACATGCAACTGTCACCAAAGGTTAGGTCCCTGGACTGTGATGGTCACCACACAACATGCAACTGTCGCCATAGGTTAGGTCCCTGGACTGTGATGGTCACCACACAACATGCAACTGTCACCATAGGTTAGGTCCCTGGACTGTGATGGTCACCACACAACATGCAACTGTCGCCATAGGTTAGGTCCCTGGACTGTGATGGTCACCACACAACATGCAACTGTCACCATAGGTTAGGTCCCTGGACTGTGATGGTCACCACACAACATGCAACTGTCGCCATAGGTTAGGTCCCTGGACTGTGATGGTCACCACACAACAGGTTAAATGTTTATCACAGAGTCGCCGTCTTAAAAAAACACACAAAGCATTGTGTATTGCTATGATCATGTTTGTGTAAATGTTGCTCTCTGTTATTTTGACTGAGTAAAAATCTGGGAAAGGAAAGACACTAGAAATTGCTATACATATTGTAAGTTATATATATAAGTGTTGGGATATGTATATTGATATAGACACACAGACACACTAACACACACTTACAATAACTGGATTTCTCCTGTGCCACTGACTGATGTGGGATGCTGACGTTGTTGACAGACCCAGGTGATGATTGCCTTGGTGGGGCCGACCATCTTCCACGGCACGTTCTACGCCCAGTCTCACCTCGTCCAGATACGCCTGGAGTACCTGGTGGCCGGATCAGAGGCGACGGAGGTCAGACATGATGATGGGGAGGATGTTGATGATGGGGAGTGATTGATGGAGACTGAGAGTGATATTGTGATTGTAATGGTGGTGATTGTGTTGTTGATTGATGGTGATGATGATCATGACGATGAGGTTGTTTGTAGTTGATAGTGATGACAGTGCTGCTGTGTTGCTCTTATCTCCCTTCGTAAGAAAATGTTTTGTGGTGATGAACGTATGTGTTTGGGAAAACTGCGATGTTTCGATGTAAATGAAGAGGAATCAGGGTGTTCACGGAGTCCACGATGGATGTGTGTTTGTGTAACTATATATGTTGTGTGATGTTTCGATGTAAATGAAGAGGAACCATGGTGTTCACGGAGTCTACGATGGATGTGTGTTTGTGTAACTATATATGTTGTGTGATGTAGGATGGCTCCTGTCTTTGACATGTATCAGAATAACCCCTTGAACTTTAAATTTTTCGATTGCACGTGCAATGCATCCCTAGCGGGGTACTGCTATAATATTGATGATATATGTATGGTAGGGTTGACAGTGCTGCTGATGCTGCTCTGATGATGATCTGATGATGATGATGATGTTGATGATGATGATGTTGATGATGATGATGTTGATGATGATGATGATGATGATGATGATGATGATGACGTTGATGCCTGATTTAACTCTTGTTTCAGGGAGTTTCAATCTTTGTGAACTGTTTAATGAAGGACATTGATGCTATGTACAACCACCCATACCACAAACTTCTGGGTAAGTAAGGGAGATAATTCCAACCACCACAAACTTTGTAACTGAGAGCTGTAATACTGCTGATCAAGAGCTGTACTGCTGCTGATCAAGAGCTGTACTGCTGCCGATCAAGAGTTGTACTACTGCCGATCAAGAGCTGTACTACTGCTGATCAAGAGCTGTAATACTGCTGATCAAGAGCTGTACTATTGCTGACCAAGAGCTGTAATACTGCTGATCAAGAGCTGTACTGCTGCCGATCAAGAGCTGTACTATTGCCGACCAAGAGCTGTATTGTGTGTTTATGAGCTGCATCTACTGGTATCGTGTCTAATGAGCTGCAGCTACCAGTATTGTGTCTGATGAGTTGCATCTACCAGTATTGTGTTTATGAACTGCATCTGTTGTAGGGGTCAACATACCCATCCTGGTGGATGAAGACAAGAATGAGTGGATCCAGGAATTCTGGGACCCTTCTCGAGTTCAGGAGGAGAAGGTAGGGGGATATTTGTTTCGTGCTGTGTTCACGGGCGTGCTGTTTTAACGGGTGTGCTGTGTTAACGGGTGTGCTGTGTTGACGGGTGTGCTGTGTTGACGGGTGTGCTGTGTTGACAGGTGTGCTGTGTTGACAGGTGTGCTGTGTTGACTGGTGTGCTGTGTTGACAGGTGTGCTGTGTTGACTGGTGTGCTGTGTTGACGGGCGTGCTGTGTTGACTGGTGTGCTGTGTTGACTGGTGTGCTGTGTTGACTGGTGTGCTGTGTTGACTGGCGTGCTGTGTTGACTGGTGTGCTGTGTTGACGGGTGTGCTGTGTTGACGGGTGTGCTGTGTTGACGGGCGTGCTGTTTTAACGGGTGTGCTGTGTTAACGGGTGTGCTGTGTTGACGGGTGTGCTGTGTTGACGGGTGTGCTGTGTTGACAGGTGTGCTGTGTTGACAGGTGTGCTGTGTTGACTGGTGTGCTGTGTTGACAGGTGTGCTGTGTTGACTGGTGTGCTGTGTTGACGGGCGTGCTGTGTTGACTGGTGTGCTGTGTTGACTGGTGTGCTGTGTTGACTGGTGTGCTGTGTTGACTGGCGTGCTGTGTTGACTGGTGTGCTGTGTTGACTGGTGTGCTGTGTTGACGGGTGTGCTGTGTTGACGGGTGTGCTGTGTTGACTGGTGTGCTGTGTTGACTGGCGTGCTGTGTTGACTGGTGTGCTGTGTTGACTGGTGTGCTGTGTTGACTGGTCTGACATGAACAAACAACATCTGTAGTGTAGCAACACTTTGATGTTGTTGGCAACAGTGAAACACGAGACTGCTCCACTTCTAATCTGAGAGGCTTTCAATGTGTTTTGAGGCAGGGCCACGTCATACCAAAAGGCGTTAAAATATGTTACTTGTTGTTACCCTGTCTGGCGTTCAGCATTAAGGGACTTAAACAAAGACGGGTCTGCTAGGAGTCAGTATACTGTGTCTGAGTGGGGTATTCATGTTAAACTGTCGCATGGTATCTCAGTGAGCTTGCACTATAAATCAGCATCAGTCCGGACTATTACAAGCGCATGCGTGCACACGCACACGCACACACAAACACGTCGCATTATGAGTGGAATAATCTTGGACGCAATGTTAAACCCAATTTCACCTCACCTCACCTCACCGCACCTCACCTCATCGCTTCGCACCTCACCTCACCTCACCTCACCTCACCGCACCTCAACTCACCGCACCTCACCGCACCGCACCTCACTGCAACTCAACTCTTCCTACCAGACTACAAATGAAACATTACTTGCATTTATTTATCAAACAAACTTGAGGTACCAGTAAGAAATTCTTGTTGTGTTGAAGTAGACAAGGTTCTCTCTAGACATGACGGCTGATGGTTATTTCGTTTCCCTTCACAGGCAGAATTTCTCCAGAATTTGAGCGATGCAGTCATTGGGAACAAGTTGATATACGTAGAGGTAGGAACACCAGGAGATAGACATGTATCAGTGAGTGAGTGAGTGAGTGAGTGAGTCAACCCCCATGACAATGAGGGAATATTTCTAAAAGTGGCTAAAAAATCATCGTCACTATTTCAGGTCAGGGACACTATGATAAAATACAGTTGTGACATAAAGGATTCTTTCTCTCTGAGTTATTCTTCTATGGAACTTTATCAACTATGATCCATTTGAGGTGATTTCAATAAAAGGAATGTATTCTCAAATAGAGGAATATAGCCCCTGAATTGATCTGCAGTCTCAGTGTTTTGTATTTTGTATTTTGTGTGCACTACATGGTGAGCTGTGGTTGCAGTGTGTGCTCAAGTTGGACCCCGGCATGTCGACCTACGTGCGGGGACAGAAGCAGTATGGCCTGAACTTCATCGAGGTTGTGGATGAGATTCGGGAAGAAGGGTAAGATGGCTTGTGTTGATTCTGTGAATGCAGGGCTTGGGCAATACTCCACGATTCCTGGCCGCATCATACCAAAAGACATTAAAAGATGGTACTTGTTGTTACCCTGCCTGGCACGCGTCATTAAGGGGCTAAAAAATAGGACTGGTCAGCTCAGAGTCGGTATACTGTGTCTGAGTGAGGTATTCATGTTAAACTGTGGCATGGTATCTCAGTTTGCTAGCATTAACCCCGTTTCACCTTCGCCTGATCTGGTGTGTTGCACAGTTAGAAATTTAACTCACTGGAATTTGAATAATATGTTAGAAAACAAAACAAGCTTCAAATAGTGTTTTGGTGTCTCCCACAGTGATATTACTTAAAGTCATGCAAAACAAACAAAACATATTATCATATTGTGATTGCAGCCTCATGTGTTTCTCGGAGTTCCCGATGGCGTCTCTACATGAGGGCGTGTTTCTGAATCAGAGTCAGGCCGAGGCCTACATCACCATCTTCTCTCCACAGTTGGACAGCGTCGACATCCAGAATACTAAAATACAGTCAGGTGGGCCTACATCGTCTCCACACATCTGCAGCAATATTCCTCGAAAAAACTGAGTGAAGCACAGAGCTACAGATCAGCAGCGTATTTGCCTGAAATACACCCTCAAAATATTCAAAACCCAATTACTTTCACTTAACTTGTGTACAGAAACGCATGCATTAAATAAAAAACTCAACTGTATAAAACCAGCATGTGTAAATACCCAATGAAGCTTTTTCAGCATGCGTACAATGGAGCTAATTTCCGAAACACAATTACGAGCTAATTTACTTTCCGAGTCAATATTTAGAACAGTTATCATGGTTATGTACATCTAAAACATTATTTCCTTTTTTTTTAAATCTTAAAATGTTCACTCTTTTGTGAATAGATGAGTGAAAAAATATTGGTTAACCCATGAAAAATGTTATAACCTAATTAAAATAGAAACCCTAGAGTAAAAACTCAATTGCTCAAAAAGTTATCTGGAACTCTGGAAGCAACAAACAAACAACAAAAAACAATGTCACTTATTCCTTTCAGCTCGACCTGGGTCAAAGGTCACTCGACGCACGGGCCAAGCGACAACCCAGCTGGAGACTGACCGACAGAGTATTCACATACACGTCCATGGGCGACTGGAGCATTTCCGACCTCGGAAAATACGCATCGATGGATTCCGGCTTGGAGAAGATCCTGGATTTGGACCTTTTGCCTGGCAGATTGTTACTCCCTTCAAGTACGTGCTGCCTGCACTGATACTCAGGATGAGGATGGGTTTTGAACTGTTGTGATTTTTTAAGTGAATATTTATATATTTATCCTATCTCACACTATTTATTTCTCCCTTCTTACCTGGTGTGGAAATGTGTTAGAACAAAGTTTCCTGCTTAAAATAACACCTCACCTCAACACATTCCATTCATCACCATGGTCACGCACCACTGCAATCCTTGTGTCCCGACCCTGTGCGATCTGATCACCTGACAGACCCTGCACTCACACTCTCTGTCTTGTCTCCTGGTGGATAGGACATTCATTCAACAGAGAATACATTTTGTTTTTGTTTTTCGGAGAGAAGTTTTCTGTCTCCTACCATTTACAAACCGTTGAAGCTGTATACTATGACACGAGTCAATAGATCCCTTTCTGCAAGGACTGTAGTGGGCGATATTCGCCACATGACCCCCATTCTGTATGTTGGGACTGTCGCAGAATGTTTGTTTCTGATAAGAGATAAAGAACGGTCTGCAGTGTCGTCAACTTTCGGCTGATCCAAGCTTCACAGCCTCCTCAGAGATTTGGAGCATGGTTCTTCATTCATCTAGAAACCAAAGTCTGTCCACGTGATGGTTATCTTTAGTCACTTAAAGTCATCCCTCAATGTTCCGAATGCGGGACTGTACAGTCGACTGGAGACAGCCTACTTATCTCTGTGAGTAGTGTTCTCTTCGCACCTTGATTGGATAATCCTTGGCCATCAGCGAAGCGTCGCCTCTCCTCCCACTGAAGATCGCTGCACCCTACAGTTCTCTGATAACATAGCTGCACCCCTCCAGCCATCAGAAGACAACAAGCAGACTGACTAGCAATGCAGTTCTTTCCAAGGGTTCTCTGCTGTCTTGAGTATTGTTGGATCGTCATTGGATCATCTGGATTCCACACAGCATAACGTCTCAATGGAGCGATGGTCATAGTAGGGGATCTTCATCACCCTCAGGATCGTCCGTTGCTGCCCCTCTGTGGATCAAGAAGTGGATGGATCACCTAGACAGCTCGACAATCAAAGGATGGACATATTGACACATCAAGGGATCAACATTCAGCTCGAATCACTCACAGCATCATCACTTTCCAGAAACCTATGATTGTGGGTTCGAATCCCGGTTCGCCCCGATTATGTTTCTAGGTTTGTCAGCACCATACCCGTGTTCGGTGAGTTTCACCGAAGTGGTAAACGTCTGAGACCTGCATCACTTCAGGCTTTCCTTCCACATTACCCTGACATGCTGTGTTGTAACTGGAATACTGTTAAAAGCGGCGTTAAACCCAACTCACTCACTCACTCTTTTAGTGTACATGGCTTGTCTTAGTACATCACGCTCATTCCACATAATAAAAGGGTGAAATGCATGGTGTGAGATGGGATAAATATATAAATATTCAATTTTTTTTATAAATATAAAATTTTCACAATGAATAAGGTCAAAGGGATATAGCCTAGCTGCAGTGATAATCATGATGTTTTTTAGATGTGTTTTTCTGCTGTTTCCTTCAAAATGTGTGTAAATTTATGAACTGCAAACAATTCGTTTTGAAGACAGTGGGTTGTTTGGGAGGCCTGAGGGTTGTGTGTTGTTGACATCACATGTTGACACATGACACAAAGTGAGCCCCAGCATGTCAGAGTAAAGTCAGATCATATGTTTACGAACATCATATGTTTTCGGACGATGTTTATGACGTTCACTCGCACTACAACGAGGGGTGTGACGTCACAGACATTGTAAATACTCAGGTGATGGCTTATTTTATTATAAAGTTGTCTTTTTAAAGTTATTGAGATATTTTAATTTTTTTCATGTGATTAGCGAGAAAACTATGAATGTTTCTTAACCGTCCAAAAACCTGTAACACAGGGCTGCTTGGTGTGAGTGGTTCCTTACAACACTGACAGGGAGGAATGTGAGACTCAGCGTAAAGTTGTCACTGGTTGATTCCCATCTCTTCTGTCCCCATCAGGGCACAGCTACAGAAGAACATCTCCCGGTACCACCCCCACGGCGAGCTGTTCGACAGTCTATACAACATCATCATCCTCGTCCTCACAGACAGGTGAGCTCCACTGTATTCCCCTCAGTGTCCTGGGGCCTGGGGCCGTCGTATTGTTGCAACTCTTGTTGTTTACTAACGGGACAGAGGGCACGGGTGGCCCAATTGTTTAAGGCACTGTGGAGTGCTGAGCAGAGTTTGGCACATCACAAATCTATGATCGTTGGTTCAAATCTCGGGTCACCCTGATTAAGTAAAGGTATGAGACTTGCATGACTTCAGGCTTATTCAGGCTTAAGCCGACTAGCCGCGATATAACTAGAATACTGTTCAAGGCGGTGTTAAACCCAACTCATGAACTCATATTAGCAGGACGGATGTCTCAACTGAGCTTCAAAATTCATTTGCAGAGTTGTGTCCCATTAGCATACCAGTATCCTATGATCGTGAGTTTGAATCCCAAATTTGCCCTGATTATGATTCTTTAGTACCATATGTTGTGTCTGTTGTACTTCCCTCCCACATTAAGGGACACACCTTGATGTAACTGAAATACTTTTCACACTCACTCACTCACTCACTCACTCACTCACTCACTCACTCATTCACCCACTCACTACTCACTCACTCACTCACTACTCACTCACTCACTCACTCCTCACTCACTCACTCACTCACTCACTCACTCACCCACTCACCCACTCACCCACTCACCCACTCACTACTAACTCACTCACTCACCCACTCACTACTCACCCACCCACCCACCCACTCACTCACTCAATCACACTGTAGGTCTCCCTCATTACAGAATATCCTATGACAAGGACCTCCTGCCAGAAGTGTACTGCATCCTGCACGGGACACCAGGCCGTCTACATCAGCTTATGGAACACAACAAGGCTGTCCGAGGCCTCATCCGAGGGTTTGCAGGTGTAAGTTGATTTGTGGCACTTTGTTTCCATCCTCTTATATCCCCATGTTTATCAACACTTACTGCAGAACATGTGTAGCACAAATGTAGCATCTTAGTAACATATGTAGCTTCTTAGTAACATATGTAGCTTCTTAGTAACATATGTAGCATCTTAGTAACATGTAGCTTCTTAGTAACATATGTAGCATCTTAGTAACATATGTAGCTTCTTAGTAACATATGTAGCTTCTTAGTAACATGTAGCTTATTAGTAACATATGTAGCATCTTAGTAACATATGTAGCATCTTAGTAACATATGTAGCTTCTTAGTAACATATGTAGCATCTTAGTAACATATGTAGCATCTTAGTAACATATGTAGCTTCTTAGTAACATGTAGCTTATTAGTAACATATGTAGCATCTTAGTAACATATGTAGCATCTTAGTAACATATGTAGCATCTTAGTAACATATGTAGCTTCTTAGTAACATGTAGCTTCTTAGTAACATATGTAGCTTCTTAGTAACATGTAGCTTATTAGTAACATATGTAGCATCTTAGTAACATATGTAGCTTCTTAGTAACATGTAGCATCTTAGTAACATATGTAGCTTCTTAGTAACATGTAGCTTATTAGTAACATATGTAGCATCTTAGTAACATATGTAGCATCTTAGTAACATATGTAGCTTCTTAGTAACATATGTAGCTTCTTAGTAACACATGTAGCATCTTAGTAACATATGTAGCATCTTAGTAACATATGTAGCTTCTTAGTAACATGTAGCTTATTAGTAACATATGTAGCATCTTAGTAACATATGTAGCATCTTAGTAATATATGTAGCTTCTTAGTAACATATGTAGCATCTTAGTAACGTATGTAGCATCTTAGTAACGTATGTAGTATCTCAGTAACATATGTAGTATCTTAGTAGCATGTAGCATCTTAGTAACATATGTAGCATCTTAGTAACATATGTAGCTTCTTAGTAACATATGTAGCATCTTAGTAACATATGTAGCTTCTTAGTTACATATGTAGCTTCTTAGTAACGTATGAAGCCTGTCTGTAGCTTCTCAGTAACAAGTGTAGCACTCATCAGATACCAGATATCTTCATGATTATCAGTATTTAGTGTAAGCACATATGTATCATCTTAGTAATGTGTGAAGCACTTACATATTTTATTTCTTTACTCTGATTGAAGTTCTGGACAACAATGATAAAATAATGACATTTTTGTCGTGTTCATTGTAATTCCTGCATTCTGTTTACTTGACTTTTTCACGTCTTATTGCATTCATTTGCAGTGGAATGTAAACAATTAAGCCACGCACACCGATGCGGACAACTTTTATTACTACGGAATGTCGGGGAATCCCAATACTACAGTCTTCAGTTTTTCGATTCATACCTCAATGAACCGAAAAAAATGCACAGTCAATCCCTAATTAATTTCAATCATTGGATTGTATAATTTACATAGAGCTGTCATATTGCTGAGTATGGCATTCAGCAGCAAAACAACAAGTCTTCATTGCATGCAAAGCCAAACTGTTTTTATTTATTCAGTCTGACAATGTTCACTTCATCCGTCTACTGTTGGCCGAGTACAAGCGGGATGTGGAGGAGATGCTGGCGAACAGTCTGTGAGTGTCCACCATATGTTGTCTTGACCAGAGCTGCCCCAGTTATCAGGACCATTGATTGTTGCATTCCAACTTTAATATACTGATCCTGGTTCGCCCCGATTATGTTTCCCCGTGCTTGTGGGTTTCACCAAAGTGGTAAACGTCTGAGACCTGCATCACCTCGGGCTTTCCTCCCACATTAAGCTGACACGCCGCGATATAACTGTAATACTGTTAAAGGCGACGCTTTTAATTACATGAACTAAGGCCAACCAAACATGTACCGATTCCAAACAAACATGTACCTTGACCGACCCAACATGTACCTTGTCCAACCCAACATGTACTTAGTCCAACCAAACATGTACTTAGTCCAACCAAACATGTACTTAATCAAACAAAACATGTATGTCTACCAACTGGTCATGTACCTTGTCCAACCAAACATGTACCGAATCTAAACAAACGTACCGAGTCAAACCAAACATGTACCGAATGTAACCAAAAGTACCTTGTCCAACCAAACATGTACCGAATCTAAACAAACGTACCGAATCTAACCAAACATGTACCTAGTCCAACCAAACATGTACTTAGTCCAAAGAAACATGTACTTAATCAAACCAAACATGTATGTCTATCAACTGGTTATGTACCTTATCCAACCCAACATGTACTTAGTCCAACAAAAGATGTACTGAGTCCAACCAAACGTACACAGTCCTATCAAACATGTACTTAATCTAACCAAACATGTACCTAGTCCAACCAAACATGTACTTAGTCCAAAGAAACATGTACTTAATCAAACCAAACATGTATGTCTATCAACTGGTTATGTACCTTATCCAACCCAACATGTACTTAGTCCAACAAAAGATGTACTGAGTCCAACCAAACGTACACAGTCCAATCAAACATGTACTTAATCTAACCAAACATGTACTTAGTCCAACCAAACATGTACTTAGTCCAAAGAAACATGTACCAAGTCCAACCAAACATGTACCGAGTCCAACCAAGCGTACCGAGTCCAACCAAATATGTACCGAATCTAACCAAACGTACTTAGTCCAAACAAACATGAACTTAGTCCAACCAAACATGAACCGATTCCAAACAAACATGTACCTTGTCCATCCCAAATGTACCTTGTCCAACCCAACATGTACTTAGTCCAACCAAACATGTACTTAGTCCAACCAAACATGTACTTAATCAAACCAAACATGTATGTCTACCAACTGGTCATGTACCTTGTCCAACCAAACATGTACCTAGTCCAACCAAACATGTACTGAGTCCAACCAAACATGTACTTAGTCCAACCAAACATGTACTTAATCTAACCAAACATGTACTGAGTCCAACCAAACGTACCTTGTCCAACCCAAATGTACCTTGTCCAACCCAACATGTACTTAGTCCAACCAAACATGTACTTAATCAAAACAAACGTGTATGTCTACCAACTGGTCATTTACCTTGTCCAACCAAACATGTACCAAGTCCAACCAAACATGTACAAAGTCCAACCAAACATGTACTTAATCCAACCAAACATGTACTTAGTCCAACCAAACCTACCGAGTCCAACCAAACATGTACCGAATCTAACCAAACATGTATTTAGTCCAACCAAACATGCACTTAGTCCAACCAAACATGTACCGATTCCAACCAAACATGTACCTTGTCCAACCAAACATGTACCGATTCCAACCAATCATGTACCGAGTCCAACCAAACATGTACTTAGTCCAACCAAACATGTACTTAGTCCAAACAAACATGTACTTAATCAAACCAAACATGTATGTCTACCAACTGGTCATGTACCTTGTCCAACCAAACATGTTCCAAGTCCAACCAAACATGTACCCAGTCCAACCAAACGTACCGAGTCCAACCAAACATGTACCGAATCTAACCAAACGTACTGAGTCCAACCAAACATTTACCGAATCTAACCAAACATGTACCTAGTCGAACCAAACATGTACTTAGTCCAACCAAAGATGTTCTTAGTCCAAACAAACATGTACTTAGTCCAACCAAACATGTACTTAGTCCAACCAAACATGTACTTAATCAAACCAAACATGTATGTCTACCAACTGGTCATGTACCTTGTCCAACCAAACATGCACTGAGTCATACCAAACATGTACCGAGTCCAACCAAACATACCTTGTCCAACCCAACATGTGCTTAGTCCAACCAAACATGTACTTAGTCCAAACAAACATGTACTTTATGAAACCAAACATGTATGTCTACCAATTGGTCATGTACCTTGTCCAACCAAACATGAACAGAGTCCAACCAAACATGTACCGAATCTAACCAAACATGTACCTTGTCCAACCCAACATGTACTTAGTCCAAACAAACATGTACTTAGTCCAAACAAACATGTACTTTATGAAACCAAACATGTATGTCTACCAACTGATCATGTACCTTGTCCAACCAAAGATATACCAAGTCCAACCAAACATGTACTGAGTCCAACCAAACATGTACCGAGTCCAACCAAACGTACCGAATCGAACCAAACATGTACCTTGTCCAACCGAACATGTACCGAATCTTACCAAACATGTACTTAGTCCAACCAGACATGTACTTAGTCCAACCAAACATGAACTTAGTCCAACCAAACATGTACCGATTCCAAACAAACATGTACCGAGTCCAACCCAACATGTGCCTTGTCCAACTCAACATGTACTTAGTCCAACCAAACATGTACTTAGTCCAACCAAACATGTACTTAATAAAACCAAACATGTATGTCTACCAACTGGTCATGTACCTTGTCCAACCAATCATGTACCCAGTCCAACCAAACATGTACTGAGTCCAACCAAACGTACACAGTCCAACCAAACATGTACTGAGTCCAACCAAACGTACACAGTCCAACCAAACATGTACTGAATCTAACCAAACATGTACCAAGTCCAACCAAACATGTACTTAGTCCAAACAAACATGTACCAAGTCCAACTAAACATGTACCGAGTCCAACCAAACGTACCGAGTCCAACCAAATATGTACCGAATCTAACCAAACGTACTTAGTCCAACCAAACATGAACTGAGTCCAACCAAACATGAACCGATTCCAAACAAACATGTACCTTGTCCATCCCAAATGTACCTTGTCTAACCCAACATGTGCTTAGTCCAACCAAACATGTACTTAGTCCAACCAAACATGAACTTAATCAAACCAAACATGTATGTCTACCAACTGGTCATGTACCTTGTCCAACCAAACATGTACCTAGTCCAACCAAACATGTACCAAGTCCAACCAAACATGTACTGAGTCCAACCAAACATGTACTTAGTCCAACCAAACATGTACTTAATCTAACCAAACATGTACTGAGTCCAACCAAACGTACCTTGTCCAACCCAAATGTACCTTGTCCAACCAACATGTACTTAGTCCAACCAAACATGTACTTAATCAAAACAAACATGTATGTCTACCAACTGGTCATTTACCTTGTCCAACCAAACATGTACCAAGTCCAACCAAACATGTACAAAGTCCAACCAAACATGTACTTAATCCAACCAAACATGTACTTAGTCCAACCAAACCTACTGAGTCCAACCAAACATGTACCGAATCTAACCAAACATGTATTTAGTCCAACCAAACATGCACTTAGTCCAACCAAACATGTACCGATTCCAACCAAACATGTACCTTGTCCAACCAAACATGTACCGATTCCAACCAATCATGTACCGAGTCCAACCAAACATGTACTTAGTCCAACCAAACATGTACTTAGTCCAAACAAACATGTACTTAATCAAACCAAACATGTATGTCTACCAACTGGTCATGTACCTTGTCCAACCAAACATGTTCCAAGTCCAACCAAACATGTACCCAGTCCAACCAAACGTACCGAGTCCAACCAAACATGTACCGAATCTCACCAAACGTACTGAGTCCAACCAAACATTTACCGAATCTAACCAAACATGTACCTAGTCGAACCAAACATGTACTTAGTCCAACCAAAGATGTACTTAGTCCAAACAAACATGTCTTTAGTCCAACCAAACATGTACTTAGTCCAACCAAACATGTACTTAATCAAACCAAACATGTATGTCTACCAATTGGACATGTACCTTGTCCAACCAAACATGTACTGAGTCCAACCAAACATGTACCGAGTCCAACCAAACATATCTTGTCCAACCCAACATGTGCTTAGTCCAACCAAACATGTACTAAGTCCAAACAAAGATGTACTTTATGAAACCAAACATGTATGTCTACCAATTGGTCATGTACCTTGTCCAACCAAACATGAACAGAGTCCAACCAAACATGTACCGAATCTAACCAAACATGTACCTTGTCCAACCCAACATGTACTTAGTCCAAACAAACATTTACTTAGTCCAAACAAACATGTACTTTATGAAACCAAACATGTATGTCTACCAACTGATCATGTACCTTGTCCAACCAAACATGTACTTAGTCCAACCAAACATGTACTTAATCAAACGAAACATGTATGTCTAGCAACTGGTCATGTACCTTGTCCAACCAAACATGTACCCAGTCCAACCAAACATGTACCCAGTCCAACCAAATATGTACTTAGTCCAACCAAACATGTACTTAGTCCAACCAAACATGTACCGAATCTAACAAAACATGTACTTAGTCCAAGCAAACATGTACTTAGTCCAAACAAACATGTACCTAGTCCAACTAAACATGTACCGAGTCCAACCAAACGTACCGAGTCCAACCAAATATGTACCGAATCTAACCAAACGTACTCAGTCCAACCAAACATGAACCGATTCCAAACAAACATGTACCTTGTCCATCCCAAATGTACCTTGTCCAACCGAACATGTACTGAGTCCAACCAAACATGTACTTAGTCCAACCAAACATGTACTTAGTCCAACCAAACATGTACTTAATCAAACCAAACATGTATGTCTACCAACTGGTCATGTAC